GCTGCGCTCTGCCCCAGCGATTGCAGCTCGTTCGAGAAGCCTATCTTGGATCGCATCGACGCGGTGGAGGTGCACGTAAAGCGCCAGCTGAAAGCGCACCTCGGTCATGCAGATGCGGCCAAGTGCGCGTGGCACTGTGCAAACCACGCGCACGCTGACGCCTCTGGGGCGGATAAATCGCGCCCGGCGCCCTGCACGCACGTGCACGCACAGGGCTGCATGGAGTGTGCTCAGCTCGCGGCGCTGCAAGCCGATCTCGACGTCCTCCTGACTGCCGCCGAGCGCTGCCTGCAGCGAAACCTCCCTAGCCCGGCGGCGGCTGCTTCCCTAGCCGTCGGCTCGTACGTCGCCTACACGGACGAAGCCGGCCTCACGCACTCAACGGTGGTCCGGGAGGTGCACCCGCCCGAGGGCGGCGCCTTTCCCCCTCCTCCTGCTGCCCCGGCCGTCACCCCTGCGGCTGGACGCACGCGGGCCTGCGCGGCTGCAGCGCCTGCCACACCCGCCGCCGCTGCTCCAGCGGCCGCAAACCAGCCCGTGGCGGCCACGACCGCCGTTGATCCGAACTACTACACGGTCGACAGCGGCTTCGAGGGCGGGAGGCGGCGAGTCCCCGCCTCGGCTCTCTCCCCCCGAGTCTCCGAGCCACGTCTAGAATCGCTGACCCAACTGCGAGAGCTCGTGCGCCGCGCTAGCGAAAAGCTCGACAGCTACTACCATCACATGGTCCGAGCAGCGCACGAGGCTGCTACTACCTCGCGTCTGCTCGAAGAGCTCGAGCAGGATCAGGCGCGGGCAGCCCACCTGCGAGACACACGGAGAAAGGGAGGTGAGGAGAGTCGCCCACGCGAACCCGAGAGAAGAGTGCGTCCGACCTCTACAGGTCCTCGTCATCGCCGACTGGAAAATGAAGTTCTTGATGAGCGTCTTCCGCGAGGCCATGTCCGAGTTCTTCGGCAAGCGCGGCATGCCTTGGCACGGCTGCATGCTTGTCCGGCGCCCGCTGCGCTTCGAGGCCGATCGGTACGGCGAGGGAGAGTTCGTCTGCGAGTACAAACATGCAATGATGCTCGCGTCGAAAGAGGACGGCTTTGCTACCCTATCCGCAGTGCACATCGCGCTCTCCGAGTACAAATCTGAGAACCCGCACGTCTCGAGCGCCTTGGTCAAGACTGACGGAGCCGCCGCATACGCGGGCGCGACCTTCACCCTCGGCCTCTCCTTCCTGGGTGAGACGACCGGCATCGTCGTCCGCGGACACTTCATCGGCGAAGCTGGGCAGAATAAGTCTACTCTCGACGGCGAGTTTGCGGTCAGCGGGAGCCAGGTCCGCCGGCTCATCTGCAGCGGCCTCCACGACGTCCGCACGCCGTCAGACCTATTCCACGGGTTAGAGAAGGTGCTCTCCAAGCAGGGCGGCCGCACAGTCGCGCTCTTCCGGCCCGCCGGCAGCGAGGAGTTCGCCGTGGAGACGATCGCTCGCCTCACCCTGATGTCGGCCCGCGAGTACGTCTACGACGGGTCGGGGTCGTTCGAGGCGCTGCTGCTCCGCCGCCAGTCCTTTCTGGGGCAGGGGGAGCGGCTGACCTCGGCCGACCTCTTCCCGGACGGAAGGGTCGCGCCCACCGCGCCTCAGGTCGTCGCCTCGACGAGCCGCGGGGCGGCGGGCAGCTCGGGGCAGCACGAGCTCGTCGCACGAAGCGACGACAGGGGCCGCGAGGGCAAAGCGGACCGGAAGCTCGTCGCACGAAGCGACAGGGGCCGCGAGGCGCGGGCGAAGGCCAAGGCGGAGCGGAAGGAGGCGGCACAGGCGAAGGTGGCGGCGGAGCGCCGCCGTCTCGCTTCGGAGGCCTCGGTGGCGCGATCGACAGCGCGGTCCTACCGATGCTGCGACATGCCTGGCGGCATGCCCGGCTGCGATCGAGTCTTTGTGCGCCTAGAGGCGTTAAAGAGGCACCTGGAGCAGGGTCGCACCGACCCGGATGTGCACCAGTGCGGTTATGTCCGATGCTACCCCGCCGGCGCGCCTGTCGGCAGGGCGAGCGCCGGCGACGTGCTTGCGCGAGCGGTTGCCGCACAGGCAGGGCGTGTCACCATCCACGGCGGCGAGGGCGGCCTCGCCTCGCCCACCCTCTGCCCGGTGGCCGAGCTGCAGCTGACGCTGTGCGATGGGACCGTGTGCAAGCCGACCCCTCCGGAGGCTGGCTATGCCAGTAACCAGCAGGGGCGGTCGAAGCCGCGCCGCAAGTCCGCCATGCAGCTGACCTACGTCCTACTCGTCGGCCACGACGTGAAGGACGAGAAGGGGTACGAGAACCTGCACGGGCACGAGGCGAGCCAGCTCATGCTGGAGTGGGGCACGGCCGGCTTTGCCAGCCGTTTTGCGGGGGTTGGCAATGCGCCGGCCACGCAAGACGGGCAGCCGCACCTGCCGCGGACGGCGCAACTCTCGGCGAGCGAGCTCACGCCGCTGCTTATGCTGCCCCGGGCGAAGCTCGAGGCTCGCATCCTCAAGCTGAAGGCAAAGGAGCGGCGCCCCTGGGTCGCCGCAAAGACGAGGAAGCGGAAGCGCAGCGCCGTCCCTGCCGGCCGCAAGCAGAAGCCCGACAGCGCGGCCATCCTGCGCTCGGCGCGCGTCAAGCTTCGGCGCGCGGGCTGGGACATCGCCGCCGCAGTCGGGCAGAGGGGCGGGCGGCGGGCGGACCGCCTCACCGTCCCGGAGCTGAAGGCTCTCGTGGCAGGCCGCGGCTGGAAGCTGGGGAAGGGTGAGAAGGCCAACCAAGGCCCCCTGCTTGCGCTCGCCGAGCGGAAACGCAAAGAGGCGCGCGACGCGCACGCTGGCCGCCACGGCGGCGTCGCCCGGCCTGAGGACGGCCTGGACGAGTGCTGGGCGCCTCAGCCCGAGGATGAGGTGTCAGACGACGGCGCGGGCGGCTCGGAGGCGAGCGGCTCGGGCGCCGCCGGCGCTGCAGGCGGTGCGGGCGGTGCGGGCGGTGCGGGCGCGGGGGGCGTAGCAGGCGCGAGGGCGGAGGCCGGCACGGCTGGGGAGCCGGCGGGCGACGGCTCGGCGTCGGAGGGAGAGGCTACAGGTGATGTCGAAATGGGTGAGGCATGCGGGGACGCCGAGATGGCAGAGGCAGGGTCGGGGAGCGGCGGCGGCGGCGGTGGCGACGGCAGCGACGGCAGCAGCAGCAGTAGCAGCAGCAGCAGCGACGATGACAGCGACGACGCCGACGGACCTGACAGCAACTGTGAGGGAGAGGGAGAGGATGTAGCGTCGTCCGAGTCTGAGAGTGAGTCTGGGGATGAGGGTGAGGAGTAGCCGCGCGGTGGAGTGTACGCTCGCTGTTTACTCGATCCGCGCGTGTGTCGACAAGGGAGAAAACGGCCACGAGAAGAGGAGGGCACGCGTGACACCTGAGCGAGCCCGCCACAGCTGGCTCTTTCACCTGCAAGTACGAAGTAGCAGACGCTGAGGCGCGCAGGAAGTGGCCGACACGGCAAGGTCAGCGCGCATTTGCGCCACGCATCGCGAGATGGAGGGAGTACTGCAACCTACAGAGAGAGGACCTGCAGCAGCTGCCAGACGCGACGATTCGCACGAAGGAGTGACTCGCCCGCGGCTTGCCGCACTGCACTCGCAGGTATGCCCTCCGGGCGGAGGTTGAGCACTAGCCGCAAGGCACACGACCTGACCGCGGCCAGTGCTCAACCTGCAGCACCGGGCCTACAGCGAGGAGTGATACGGTGATTGACGAGGCAGTGGTTCATGCGGTGGTGGAATCGGTGTCAAAACCGAGCCAACAGGCTGAAACGGCACGGGAGCTCACAGTGTGCCTCACTGAGAGTCTCGCGGGTGCTCCGAGGCGAGCAGAGCGCGAGGGCCGATGGCATGTGAGTCTACGTAGACGCCTCATACTTGGCGGGGCTAGTGCCGGACGCAGATGGACGACGACCGAGTCGACGGCCCTGCCAAGCGTTCGGAATACCCCCAAAAATCAAGAAAAAATTCTGCGGCCGAAATCTCGATTTTTAAGCTCTCTGGGGGTGTTTCTGGGACCATATGCGACCACTTCACCCGCCCCGGGAGGACTGGATCAGTTGCGACCTATCTTGCACCATCCTGGTGTGAAGTCGCCCGTAATCCGCTTTTCGCTCTCTACACACACAACACACAAGCACCGCCACTTCGTGGTCAGCCGTCTCAGTCAGCCGTCTCAGCTGTCTCTCCGTTTCTAGAGTGGGAGTGTCGTGCAGGTGTCGTGCGAGGGAGTGTTGTTGTAAAATTCTAGAGTGGGGCCGGCACTCTGTTGAGCACTTGTGAGCACAGGAATAGGGTCCACAACTCCTGACCCGCCGCGCGCCGGCCGCCGTGCCAACTTTGACGTTATTAACCAAAATCGGCGCCCGCGCGCTTCTTTATGGGGGGCCGTACCATCTGAAATGCACCACATCGAGCACTTTGGATTTCGCTATTCTCCACCTTCTACTCAGGGTCGATTCCACATGGTACGGGGCCCTCGATCGTCTGGGGGGGGGGGGGGTCATATCTCATAACAAACACGGTGCAGGAATATCGAGGTGCACGCCGCCGAAGTAGTGTCGCCCCCCCCTCCTCCCTCCATCATCTCACTGGGTCTATGGGAGACGTCGCTCGTCGGCGGTGGTGGCGGTGGGGACCGATCGAGGTTCGAGCCAGCACGAGAGGAGCTTATTCAGCACGAACCACGCAAACGCAGCTCGCAGGAGACCGAAAATGCTATGCGGCGACGTTCCGTGGGTATTCGCGTTATTCCTTTATTCGACACACGCCCAATAAAGGAAAAGCCGCAAACCGCGCAAGCCCAAGCGCCAGCCGTGCTGTCCGTGCCCCACCACCTCGTCTCCTCGTGTGTGTGGAGAAGTATAATTTACCTTACCTTACCTGCTGTCCGTGAGCCGTCTCAACTTCAGCTGTGCGCCTCCCTCGAGAACGCGGTCTCGCGGAATAATTAAGTGTCTCACGTGCGCTGCTGACTCACAACCTCGAAGAAGTCCGATGGGCCCTTGAGCTCGGTGAGCCACTCCCTCTCGATCTTGGTGGCGGAGAGCACGTACTCCTTCTCCGCCGTGAAGGCCGTCTCGTGGAAGACGATCCACTCGGGCGGCGCCCGCCAGAGGGCCGAGTTGGGGTTGAGGGAGAGGGCGGCGCCGGTGTGGGTCGCCGCGTACTCGCCCCCCGTGACGACCTGCGCGGCCGACACGAAGTAGCCGCGCACGATCGCGCGCCGCACGCCGTCGGTGCCGGTCCTACAATGACAAGACACCAGCCTCGGGGCGGGGAGGCGGTGTTGTGCAGAGTCTTCAGAGCGATGAGTGACTCCGAGGGGCACGAGTACAGTGAATGCGGCTGAATGCCGTCGAATAGCGCGGAATCTGTGTCCTCTCGAGCGCTGGCTCGAAGACAAGAATACGGATTCCGCTTCTAGGCCGCCGCTCGTCCCACCGAGGTCTGGCCGCTCCGCCGCGCTGCAAGATGCGACTCCCAGCCTCGCGAGCTGGCGCAGCAGCTGCGCCTAATTAAGAACGAATGAACTATTAGTTAGCCTCGCGAGCTGGCGCAGCAACTGCGCCTAATTAAGAACGAATAACTATTAGTTAGCCTCGCGAGCTGGCGCAGCAGCTGCGACTAATCTCGGGCGAGCTCGGGGCGATGTCCGGGTGCTCTCCCCAAGCAAGGCGGGCTCTCGAGCGGCGGGGCGGCGCCTTGACATGCGAGCACCGTTCGAGCACCCGCTCGTTGAGCCGGTGCCTGCGGCACCAGCTGCCCGCCCGCGCCGACCCGTGCCGCTTGAGCTGCCGCAGAAACCGGCGGTGCACGTTGAGGAGCGTCACCGAGTCGCCCTCGTACACGGCAAAGGGCGCGCGCGCGGCCTCGAGCTCCTTGGCGCGCGAGACAGTGAAGACGGACTGGACCGAGAGGAGGGCGGCGACGGCTGCAGCCTCCTCCACGCACGCCTCCTCCTCTGCAGCGAGGAGCATCGCCGCCAGCTGGGGCTCGAGAGGTAGCCGCGCCATGCGGTCGCCGATGGGCTGGGTCAGCTCCCCGGCCTCGGTGAGGGCGCCGAGGGCGAACAGGAGCTCGAGGGCGCGCGAGAGCGACTCTGGCGGCGGCGGCGAGAGGAAGTCGAACCGGAGCACGTTTTGGATGCCAAGCGCCTTGAGCTGCAGCGTGACCGCCGCCAGCGAGCAGCGCTGCATCTCTGGCGGGTTGTGGGCGGGCAAGCCGTGGTAGGACGCCTCCGTCATTAGCACGTAGCACGCGCCGGGCCGGACCCGTCCTAAGGTAAGGTAAGGTCAGGTAAGGTCAGGTCAGGTCAGGTCAGGTCAGGTCAGGTCAGGTCAGGTCAGGTCAGGTCAGGTCAGGTCAGGTCAGGTCAGGTCAGGTCAGGTCAGGTCTCAGGTCAGCCTCACCACACACACGAGGTGGTGGTGGGAAAAGGGCCCGGCTAGACCCTCGCGACTCCACGTCTAGACGACAGGAGCCCCACGGCATTGAAAGTGCAAGGCCCGGTGCGCGTGGGTGAGCGGTGTGTGTGTGTGTGCCCCGGCCTGCCCGCCCCGCCCGCTGGCGCGCGTTGGCGCGCGACTCGGGCACGACGACGAGGGCCTCGTGCAGAGTGCTCGGGTTCTGCTGCCGCTGCTTTGTCCAGCCGCAGTCCACGACAAAGACCACGCCGTCGATGGTGACGGAAGTCTCGGCGATGGAGGTCGCGACGATCACCTTGCGCGCCCCCGGCGGCGGCGGCGCGAAGGCGCGCATCTGCGCGGCGTGGCTGAGGGAGCCGTAGAGCGGTAGGGCGAGGAGCCGCCTGCGAGGCCGTTCCGCGAGCGCGCGGTCGGTGAGGAGCGAGACGGCGGTGTCGACCTCCTGCTGCCCCGTGAGGAAGAGGAGGACGTCTCCTGCGGCGTGAGGACGCCAACGTCATGGTGTGCACACGGTCTCCTGCAGTGTATGCAGAGCAGCGCAGGAACACAGGGGGCTACGAGTACCGAGAGTACAGCCGAGTGCAGCGGAGTGCGTGTCCTCTCGAGGAAGACACGGGTCCGTCCTCCGGCATCTAGGGGCGCGGTCCCTCTTCGGGAGAGACGTGCAGCCGCCACGCACACTCGACGGCATGCGAGAGGTAGTCGCTGACCGGAGCCTCGGCAAAGTGCATCGCAACCTCGTGCACGCCCGAGCCGCGCAGCGAGACGATGCCGGCGGTACCGCCGCCGCCGCCGCCGCCGCCGCCGCCGCCGCCGCCGCCGCCGCCGCCGCCGCCGCCGCCGCCGCTACTGCGGAGCTCGAAGAACTCTTTGAAGCGGAGAGCGTCGACGGTGGCGGACGCGACGATGAGGCGGAGGTCGTCTCGCGCGTGGAGAAGCTTCTTGAGCAGCCCGAGCAGCACGTCCGTGGTCAGCGAGCGCTCGTGCGCCTCGTCCACCATCAAGACGGAGTAGCGAGAGAGCAGCGGGTCGCTCATGAACTCGGTCAGCAGCAGCCCGTCCGTCATGAACTTGAGCCGCGTGGCCTCGCGCGAGCAGCAGTCGTCGAAGCGGACCGCATACCCGACCGTGCCTCCGAGCGCCTCCCCCATCTCCTCTGCGACGCGCTGTGCGACCGAGACCGCCGCGACGCGACGGGGCTGAGTGCAGCCGACGACGCGCCCACCGGCCGTCCAACCCGCCTCGTGCAGGTACTGCGGGATCTGCGTCGTCTTGCCGCACCCGGTGTGGCCGACGACGACGGTCGTCCGGTACCGCTCCACCATGTACAGCAGCTCGCGCCGGTTGGCAAAGATGGGCAGCCGCAGCCGCTGCTGCGCGAGGCTGAGCCGCTCATTCGGATTCCACGAGCCGACGGCGGTGGCCTCCTCGTCGCCGGCGCGGTCGCGGTCCACAAAGCTCAATGCCGCAGCCGCGGGCCGCGCGGCGTTTGGTCTCCAGAAGAGGTGGGCGTTGCTCATGCCCGCACCGAAACCTCGAGACCGCGTGGGGTATTTCACACCTCTCCTGTCATCATGAATGAAGCGCATCGGGGAAAACTACTGTAACACTTCACCCGCATCCCATCCAAGATCTCCATCCGCGGCGCCCCCCCGCGCCGTCCTCGCCCTGTGCACGATGGGCGACGAGAGCAGGATGTCGGAGAGGACGTGCGGGCCGGGAGGGACGGTGACGAGGTGCGAGTTGTCGGTTGTTTGTTTGTCCCCGCGGCCCTTCTTCTCTCTGCGGTGTGTGCGGCCAGTGGCGCCTCCTCTCCAAAGTTGATGATATCCATCGCGACGGAGTTCTTCTTAGGCCGCCGAACACGAGCAGGCGCAGGTAGGTAACCTAGGTAGATTACTAGGTAGGTAGGAAGGCGAAGAACAGCCAGGCTCGGACTGGACACCAACGTGGTATGGGTGGACGCGGGACGCTGCTCGTTGGATTGGCGTGCGGCCGCAGCGCGCCCGCCGCAGGCGCAGCCCGCAGGCTCGTTGTAGAGCCGTACGTGCGTACCGGAGAGCGGAGAGTGTAGACCGTATATGTTGACACACGCGTGTTAGTTAGCCTGAACTCTGAAGGGGCTCAACCTCAAGAGAGAGGCATGATTTACGCTCTAGGCCGTAAGCTGTAAGGCGCCCCAGGGCCCATACTTTCAAGCCAGGGGTGCCCTAAGCCCCTATCCCGACACGAGTTCAAGCCGACGCATTCTCAGAGGACAGCCTCGAGAGACCCCCAGACCCCAGACCGCGGCGCGAAACATGGGACGCACATGGAACGCGCATGGGACGCACAGTGGCACGCCCATGGAACGCCCATGGAACACTGGCACGCACCCGCGCACGCCGCGGTCGCACGCTTCACCACTCACGACTGGTCGCCGCGACGCGTGTGAAACGTGCCCTACTCAGTGTATAGCTCGCACGAGGCCCGCCCGCTCCCGGCAAAGCAGACAGGCCGGCGCGTCCATGCAGTATCCTCGACCCCCCCCTCCCCCTCCGCCGTTGCAATGAGCACTGCAGCTAGGGTGCCCAGCGGCGCGTGCGTGGCAGCGCCTAGCCCCTCCAGGAAAGAGCGGGCCCTGGCGCCGCGGCGCGGGCGTGGCCTCGTGGTCGCAACCCTCCCCATGCAAAAGGAGAGCGCCGTCCACGACCTGCGAACGGTGGAGCGCCTGAGCCGCCCCGCTAGCTAGCCGGAGCACGGGCACTTGCTGCAGGTGTTTCCATACTGGTGCTTCTTCCAGTCTATGTTGTCATACTTGTCCTTGTTGTTGTTGTAGTAGTCCGTTTCGATGGCGCAATCGAATTCGCCAGGCTTGTGGCCGATAGTGGGCTCTTTGCAGCCGCACGGCAACTTGCCGTCTTTCCACGGGTGCCGCTCGTCGCACTCCGACAAGCAGGCGACGCACTTGGCGTACGCGTTGACGCACTTGTCGTCGGCGTAGTACTGGTAGTTGTTCGTGAATGGGTGCGGCAATGGCTCCCGGCCGACGTCGCCCTTGAATGTGCACTTGACCTCGGCTTGATGCGGGGGCGCCGTAACAAGAGCCAGGCCATCGAAGCGAGCACTCAGACGGGCGAGAGGGCTCGCGCGAAGGGAATGAGGCGAGAGGGTTCACGGGACGATAGCTCACAGGACGGCCCAACTCCAGCCCAGGACGCTCCATCTTTCGTTGCGCCGGCCCTCCAAGCCGGCATCGCGGCAGGGACTGCCTGCCAGTCCGCCGTATGCGCGTCTTCATCAGGAGAGGGCGGTGGACCGTCGTCTTCCGCTTCTTGCAGCAGCGCCAGAGGCGCGCTACCGTCCCCACCATCGACTCCAGGCCTCAGGGCCGCCGCCACGGAGGATTGCAGCCACGCAATAGAGGACCTGAGTCTCCTCAGCGGAGGCTCCCCCTCCCACTCCGCGAACTCGGCCAAGTCCTCGCCCTCCACGAGAAGGGCAGATGCAGGTGTTCCGCGGGACGGAAATGCCAAACAGTGACCCGCTGCGGGCGGGCTCTGCCCCGCCGGTGTCTCCTGGGCATGGGCGTGGGCGTGGTCGCGGCAACACGTGCCCGGTGGGAGGTGGAGGGCTCGTGACGCCGGCGGGGCGGTTGACGCCGCCTCACTCAGTCGCCGCCCGTCCCGCCGACGGCGCAGGGCTCTCGGTCTCACCGCTGCCGGCACGGGGTGCCACGCCGTTGACAACTTTGCACACTCCACGCGGAGAGGAGGTTGCTGATGAGGCGCCGAAAAGCAGCCGCGGCGTGCGCAAAAGCAGCGACACCGCGCCGACTACGCCGAGGCCTGCCCCGGGTAGCTTGAATGCCGCCTTTTTTGCGACGGGCGGGGGCCAGGGCGCACGGGCCACGGCCTACGACACGCTCGCGAGCGCCGGGGAGGGGCCACCGCCGGCGCTGGCTCGTGAACTGCGAGCGCGCGCGGAGGCACTAGAGGAGCTCATAGCCTTTCGGGCAGCCACTGAGCCGTGCTCATGACAGGGAGAAATAATTAGGGCGGTCGCGTAGAGCGTAAACAACAGAAGCGACCCAACGATTTCACGTGTGAAGTTGGGATAGAGGAAGTGCAAAACACGTGGTGCGTAGCTAAGGGAACGAGAGACAACTCAAGCGCCCCCCACGCCCCAGCCCTTGCGCCTTGGGTCTAGAGAGACAGGTCAGTCTCTCGGGGGTCAGTTTTCTCTCTAGATTAAGCCGGCAGGTGGGGGCGGATGTGTGCCGGGTGGATCCCCACGCGGGCGGGCCGGGCCCGTGCATAGTTTGGGCGCGGGGAGCGCGGGAGCATGAGAAAGACGCACTGACATGCTGATGGCTACCGGTCTCTTGATTGCCTGATTTGTCGATTCTCCATGCGATTCTCGTTCGGATCGAAATCCCAAAACCTCTCAGCTGAAAGGGGGAATTCAATCGTCAAAATCAGGCAATCAAGAGACCGGGACAGTGGGTTGGCATTAAGAAAACGTCCCCGGAAGAAACCGCGCCGAGCGATTTCCGCAAGTATCTCGAGGTTGTCCGGTGCCAATTCAAGAAATCGCGCAGCGCCACCCCCATTAATTTTTGGGGCTCTGAGCCGACAAAAACAAAACTACCGCTCGCTGCTCGCATGCTGCGACCGAGCGCGGCCGCGGGGCGTGCTGCTCTGGGGATTTGAGGCGCTCAGCCGAGGCGAGCCTGATTTTCGCAGCGTTCGGCTGTGGGGGGACTGAGCCTATTGTCCGCTGTTGGCTGAGGTGGTACCCTCGAGCCTCCTAGCATCGGCTGCCGGCTCCTCCGGCTCCACCTCTGCCGCCTGCGCGCTCACCGCGTCCCAATACGCCGCACCATAATCGAACGTCAGCTCCTCGCCCGGCTCGATGGGCCGCGCCGCGTAGAAGAACATGCGCCCACGCTGCCCGCCAAAGCGCTGCTTGCGCTTGCGCACGTTGCACTCGCCCTCGGGGAGGCTGTTCATCCACCGCGCGATGCCGGATCGAGCCGGGTCCGCCGCGTCAGTGTAGATTGGCTCGCCGAGCAGCGCTAGCGTGTCCACCACGGCGACGTACCTGAGCAGGGGAGCGCAGCTGCGTTTGGTGCGCGCGCTTGTGGCGTGCTTTCGATGTGTCGATCCGCACCTTCCCTCGCCCGAGCGGTAACGCTCAAAGTATTCCTCCTCGGAGAGCCGCTCACCGGCGTACTCGAAGAGGTACTCGCCTTCGCGGACGGGCGACGCTGCAAAGAGGCCCTGCCCGGCGAAAGGAATGAGCGAGTCCTGCACCACGAACCGCGAGTCCGAGAGGGGCGGCCGCGCCTCGTTGTGGGACCACGTCACCGCGGCGGCGGCGGTCAGGCCCACGCCGGCGGCGGCGGCGGCGGCAACGGGGCTGATCGCGCCGTCGGCAATCCCCAATGCGAATGATGTGGTGACGAGGCCAGCGCCGAGGCCTACGCCGGTGGTGCGCACCCGGCGGTAGCGGAGCAGCTCCTCCCTGATCTGGTTGGGAGGGGAGGCACAGGCCAGAGAGGCCACCGCGGTGAGGACATTCATGCAAACAACCGGAGCCCAAGGCAGTAAGTAACAAAGTAAGTATCAGCCCGCACAGATTCTGGGCCACTGACCCGAGTCTCCAAGTGTCTGAGAGCTGGTCTGGGGCAAAATCTGAGGCAGAATCGAGGAAACCGGCCAAATACCGGGTATTTTCCAGGTATACCCGGGGTTTTCAGCACCGCCCCCCCCCCCCCCCCCACAAGCACAGCCAGACAAGAAATCACGACTCTCACAGTGATTTGGGCTCGGCAGCTTGTTAGCCCTCAGCCGAAGCTGGGGCCGGTCCCATAGCCGAGAGAGCCCGCGCCGATGAGTTCGACGCGGTCGGGGGGGCCTGCGGAGAGGCCAGCGAGGTGGCGATCGCTGTACTTCATGGCGCCCTCAAAGTGGGGCTGGCTGACAAGCCAGAGGTCGATACTCTGGACGACCCATAGGATGCCACGAATGCCAGACTCTTCTTCACAGCCAGTCGAAGAACAACCCCGGGCAAAAATCGCCCAATAGGTTTTCTTTCTTTTTTTGTGCCAACAATCAATCGATCAAACAATCCCTTGAAGCAAACGTAGGGTGCCACCAGGGCCCAAAAAAAGAAAAAATAAATTTGCCAACCTCGCTCGCAGCACTTCGTGTTGGAGAGTCGAGAAATTGAGAGTGTGACTAGGAGGGTTGGCCTTTATACGTTATTCTTCCGATTCTATATTCTTTTTCGAAGCGATTTTCAGCAATTTTCCGCGGGAATATAAAGAATATTTGAGAATATAGGCCCGATTTGGAGCTGTATTCTTGGCATATTCGAGAATATAGACCCTGTTTGGGACAAACAAGAATACGGAAAAAGAATATAGATAGTACTGGGCGAGAAAAACGTATACAGGCCAATAAGGAGGGTGGGACGCTGGGGATTCGCTCAAAGGTATACCCTTGGAATGGCCGGATCCAGCCTTGAAAGTACGATATCGCGCGCGCTTCGCGCGCTGCACCGCCTGTTCTCCGCGGCTGAGTGACGACGCGTGCCGTGTGCCAGCACAGTTGGGCGCGCGCGGCGCGACGGCGCCCGCGAGGGAAGGCGCGGGTGCAGCGGCCACCGGCGGTCGTACCGCTCGCCGGCCAGCGCAGCAGCGGCCAGCGCAGCGGCCGCCGGCGCAGCAGCCAGAGCAGCCGGTGCGCGCCTTGCGAGGAGGCGCCTTGCGAGCAGCCAGAGCAGTCGTTCGAATTTTGCGAGCCGTGCGTGAGACGGTTACACAAGGACGGTCAGGCTACGGAGTACGGTCAGGAAGTAGGTTTGAGTTCACACTCTCCAACACTCCCCCATTGTCTCCGCAGTCTTCATGAATGAGGATGCGGCAGACAACAACAGCAGAGTGTGAATGTGTCTGAGCGTAGGTATGCCGGTTACCCGCCGGCGTCTCGCGGGGCTGGCTAAGCGTCCAACCTTGCGTCTTCGCGAAGGATGGTCTTGCTTGTTGGCAAGACTTGCGCGCTAAGATGAAGGGGTCAAAGCGCGGCCGAGTGGGCGGAGAGAGAGAAAGGGGAGATAATGAACAGGAGCTCGTTGTGGAGCTCGGTCATGGCGCGCCGCGAGCTGCAATCCGGGCTGAGCGTCGCGGGGCGGCGGCTTGAGCGGGCGCGGCAGGCGCGGCGGGCGCGGGAGCGGCAGCGGGGGCGCCCCCTTGCGGCGCGGCGATTGGGCCGTTGGGAGGCCTCGCCGCGTTGACGCGGATGAGCGCATCAGCGACGTGAGGACGATCTTCAATGCCCCGAACGTTGATGTTGAGCCACGGGCCGCCGACGTCGGAGATGGCAGGCTCAGTCTCAGACGTCCAGACGGCAGAGACGCTCGTAGAGGCGCATTGGACTTCTTGCCAGAGGCGTTGGACAGCGGGACGGGCTAGCGCGAGGAGGCGAGACGAGGAAGAGACAGCAATGAGGTAGAGTGGCATTGCCACGTCGAACAGATGCCCAACACTCCCCCACGACGTGATAATCGCCACACAAGGCAGAGAGGGCGTGTCGATCGTCGCGTGTTCATCGCGTACAGCTCCGGTCGTGTCGAGCGGCGACGTCGGAAGTAGCGGCGGCGAAAGGCAGGGTCCACCTTCGGTGCGAGATCTTTGCGGTAACTGCCGTTGCAGCAGCCCGAGAGCTGGTAGCGGAGGCAGCAGCTGCGATGGTGGTCCGTAGGCGAGGAGAACGGACCGGTAAGGAGAAGCAAGAGGGGATACTCGTGTCCACACAGCCGCAGTGCTGGCGGAGATGCGCTCTGTCGCAGAAGATCCGCAAGCACCCAAGTTGATGTTGCGGTTGTACTCATTCTGCTCAGCCTCCGTGCCGAGCAGTTGGTGGCCGCTGTGCCACCGTGCGCCGAGCCTCTGTGCCCAGCCAATCACCACGGCTCGCGCATATGCCCATGGTGCCAGCCATCGTATCGAGCGTAAGCCGGAAATGCTGTGCGGCAACACATCTCGCTTGTGTGCCGCACCAGCTCTCATGTCGGCCTCAGTGCCGCACTGCTCACTCCGTGCACTCACCGGTCGGTAGCATGTCAGGAGACGGAACACGGAGGAGCTGTATAGGTCACTAGACACCCACACCATCGCTACATCACCACAGCCACCAAGTCGGATACAAGTTGATGACGAAGTGCGACTAACCAAACATGAGCACTCTCCAACAAGATGTTTTGCGCGTCGCCACATTCACAGACCTTGTTATTGACAAGAAAATACGTCCTATGGCGCTTTGCGCTGGTCTATGAGAGGTTGAGGTGCGAGCCCTGGAGGCCCTGGGGATGGGGGGAGACTACCCGCGGGCCTAGATAGAAGGCCCGCGCGCAGGGGGGTGGGACATTGAGATTGAAGGCGGAGGTGGAGGCGGCGGAGGCTCGGCGAGCACGGCTGGGAGCGGCAGAGGATTCAGGATCCGGGCAAGCGCGGATCTGAGAAGAGGGGTGGCTTTCATTGGTTGGTCACGATCGGGACGGATGACACGTCTGATGCAGACATGCGGTCACCCTCGATTCCTGTTTGTTGAATGTTGAAGCCCTCTTCGATGCAGTCGCAGGAGTGATAACCCATCGAGGTGGGAGCCGCCTGCGGCATTAATTACTGAATGAATCCTCCACCAGTGGCGCAAGCCCGCTCGTCCCGACGCTCGAGCGACTCGTCCACCTTCCCAGCCACACCCTGCACAGCAGCATGGCCATCCTCCTCCTCCTCCTCACTGGAGTTGTCCCACCCGTCGTCGGAGTCGTCGCCACGGCGCTCGAAGCGGCAGCAGAGCTCCTCTTCCTCTGCTTCCTCTGCTAGCAGCTGCGCCAGCACTGCCTCCCACTCAGGGTCGGCAGCAGAGCCAGCATCGCTTTGAGCAGAGCAGCGCATTGCCACGTCCTCGTCGCTAGCCTATCGTCGCAGAGCTCCACCGCGGCGAGAGACGTGGTGACAGTGGCGACCGACGTGCCAGTGGCGCGGCTGGCATCGCCAGCAGCGAGGCCGCCAGCATCGCCGCCGCGCACCGCGGCGTGGGGCGCAGCAGCGTGCCGTTCGGCCATCGTGTTACGACATCCGACCTGCTTTTCACATAAACGCACAACTCCGGACCCAAGACGCACAAGCACAGACAGTCGAGAAGGGGGAGAGACAGCAACGACAGTCAGAAGTCAGCGCTGGGTCCCAGGAAGGCGAATGCGATGACGGCCTCTAGTGTGAGCTCTAGCTAGTGAGCTCATACGCACGCCGGCAGATCGCGACTATATACAGCTAGTTAAGAGCCGACCGACCCTCGCGTCCGGTGCTCACCGACGGCCGGGCGGGCCGCCCGCCCACGCGCCGCCTACGCGCAGCGCGTGCGCCGCAAACTCGCCCGCCGACAGCGCTGGCCAGTCTCCATCGGCCGTCGCGAGAGGCCTGCCCGGCTGTCGCCGCGGGGCCCCCACGAACACCACGCGTCGGATGCGGTGCCGCGCGAACTCGCGCGCAAAGTGCACGCCCCACGCCCGCCGCAGCGTCGTAGCGAAGTAGGACCGCGCCTCCTTCGCGCTACGCGCGCCGATCCGCCTCCAGTGCTGCTTGGATGCCGACTCCACCACACAGTCGAACAGCTGGTGCAGGTCGTCCGACGCCTCCGCGTAGGCCCCGACAACGAGGCTGCGCACGGTGCCAAACGAGCGCAGCACGGAGGAAACGGCGTCCCTCGAGCCGTTGTTCCATGCCTGCACGTGCGGCTTGGCATCGAGCGCCGCCGCCCGCGCCTCGTAGTCGCGCTGGACAAGGTTCGCCCTGTCGGCGACAGCGCCGCCCTGGCCATCGTCGCGCGCCCGAGCGCTCATGTAGTGAGGCCCGCCGCGGTGGATGGTCTTGCCCTCGAGGAGGTGCTCCGCCGGCGGCTGCTCGGGCCCGCGCTGCACTGTCGTGCCGCGCCACCGGACAGACGGATGCGCCTGGCCTCGTGTGCCCGTGCAGCGCGCCGTGCGGGACTCGCGCAGCTTGCAGTGCAGGCGCCCATCCGGCACGATGCCGTTCTTGCCGCGCGTGCCAGCTGTGCCGTTGAGTGTGACAGGCGGGATGACGGCGCTGAAGATCTCGCGCGGTTCCTCCTTGCCGCGCAGCCCCGCGTGCAGCGCATCACCGATCACGCGTGAGAAGATGTCGTCGTGGCAGTTGCCGTGGGCGCGGTCGTTGAGCGTCGCCAAGCCCAGCTGGACGCCAAAGGCATCGCAGACTCGAGGAGGGCCGCGGCCGGAGCAGGCGATGCTCTTGCCCACGAGCGCGCGCACGGCTGGGCTCTCCCGGCCGAGGTAGGTGCAGAAGATCTCGCGGAACTCGCGCGCCTCGCACCGGTTCTGAGCCGAGGGCCATGAGCTCACCCACGCGGACGAGAACGAGTCGACGGCCAGCCACGCCTCCCGCCGCGTGTCGCCGTGCGGCAGCCCGAGGATGCTGCGGCTGAGCTGGTTGCGCTTGACCTGCTCCCGCTGCTGCGTCAGCTGCCGCTGTAGCCCAGCGCTGCCGGCCCGCCCGTTGCCAGCCTCGGGAGCCCGGACATCGAGAGGTCCCGCCACGCCCTCGCCGCGGACCTCTCGCTGCATGCCCTCCCACGCCTTCTTGAAGGACTCGCCCGTCGGCGTCAGCTGCCCCAGCTGCGCGCCGAGCGGGTTGACGTTGGTGGTGCAGCCCGAGAGGAAGCGCGAGAGGCGAGGGCTGTTCGGGTACGGCAACTCGAAGGCGCCGTGGCCGAAGAGCGGAGCGAGCATCTGGAAGAAGCCGCGCTCTCTGCCGCCGCCGGGCGTCGACCTGTCGAGGAACCTCTCGGCCGCCTCGACAAAGCAGGCGCAGAACGCAGCCGGCGCCACCTCCTCGAGCGAGCGCAGGCCGAGGCCGCGCATCCGCGCAGGCAGGCGAGCCCGCCGCGCGGTGATGGCGTCGCCGAGCACGCCCTCGTAGCCGCACGCCTCAGCGGCACGGGTGAGCGCAGCGTCGACGACGCGAGCGTGGGACACCGTCTTGTCGGGAGGGAGGTGCCGAAGGATGAAGTCGAACTTGGCGGAGCAGGAGTAGTAGATGGCGGCCCACAGCGCGTGGGGGCTCGCAGCACGTAGCGAAAGAACTGTCTTGTCGATGTAGCTCACGATACTGCTCACCTGGGCGCGTAACCACGCATCCACAAACCCTGCCTCCCCCATTGGGCAGCCCGCGACCATCACGCCTCGGTACGTCCGCGACCCGCCATCCTCCTCCGGCACCAGCACCATGCCTGCTTTTCACATTCACGAAAACACAACCCACAAGCTCAGACAGACCCTCACCGCTTTCCCGGCCTGCACACGACGTCGGACACGACTGCCGTACCCGCTCTCCGCACCCGTCGACACACACACATATGCGCGTGATCCTCCTCCTCTTCCTCGCCGGCCCCGCCTCAGCGGCGCGTGCGGTCACGGTCCCCGCTCCGCTACAGCGGCCACTCGACTGTGTGCGCTCGCTGCTCGACCGGCTGCCACGGCCGCGCGATGGCTCCTGGCCCGCGACCGGCTCGACGCGGCCGCCACCGCGCGGGCCTGCAGACATTGAGCGCTTTGTCGGCGAGGCGACTGAGGAGGAGGGGTGGGCGCCGGTCGTCAGCCGCGATGGCTTTCAGGTGAGCCGTCGCAACCTGAGGGGCAGCCGGCACGTGTACGTGCGGGGGCAGGGCGTGTTTGGCGCTCCGCCGGAGGCCGTGATCGGCCTCTTCGAGACCTCGGACGCGGCACTCATCCGCCGCTACAATCCGCTGTACGACTCGGGGTGGGACCTCGAGCGGTACGACTCGCGCACGAAGGCGGCGTACGCCAAGGTGAGGGCCGCTTGCCCCGGGGTGCGGCCGCGCGACACGGTCTCGCTCATCTCGCGGCGCGACGTCGGCGGCGGGGGCGCGTGGGGCTGCGGCGGCACCGTCTTTTTCCAGGAAGCCACGACCCACCCCGCCGCGCCACCGCTGCGCGGCGTCGTGCGCGCCAAGATACTGCGCGGGATGTTCCTCGTGCAGCCGGTGCCGGGCTGCCCGCGCCAGACGAGGTTCACCTTTACGCAGCAGTGCGACGCCGGCGGGGTGATCCCGTCCTGGCTGATGAACCGGCTGATCGTCTCGGAATCGATCCACTTCTTGCAACGGCTCGACCGGACCGCGCAGGGCCGGTAGCCACGAGCGTGGGCCGCCCGTGGCATGTTTGAACGCGCATACACATGTTAGACTAGAGTCTCAAAGCCAAGAATAAAAAACCCGCTGCCGCCACCACGACACTAGACACAGCTCACACCGAGAGCGAGACTTGTCACCTGCGATTCAATCTCCCCTGCACACCGCCTCGTCTGAGCGACAGCCATATATGTCGTGTCCATCCCTGAAAATTAGATATTCTTACCTTCTTGCCCCCCTCCGAGACTGGAGACACCCACACCCCAGTATCAGACCAGGGGGACTGCCCCCCGCCCCCGCTTGCCCTGGGACTGCACAGGATAGCGTGCCCCAATTGGCGACACATAGCGGGGGACACTGCGCAAGGAGGGGGTGCGTCGCCTTTCTTTGTCCTCTCGAGGGAATGTTCTCTCGACGCCCATGGCCTTTTTCTGAGGTTTCGTACTAATGACGTCCTTCTTGGCACTTCGGGCGTCGGTTGTGCGTATCTGTGGTGTCTCGGTAATGTGTTACGGGTATCGGTCGCTGAGTGGACGCTATCTCTAACCATTTGATCTACGTTTGCCGACTTCGGCCGTCGGCCTCTCGATGGTCGAGTGGCTTCCGGATCGAATCGGCGACTATGACCCTTATAATTTTTTTCACACCTGGCGGGCCCAATTTTGCTCAGATGCACCTCCGAATTCGATATTCGAAATCGCGTCCTCACGCTTAGCGCTTGGTGTGCGTCCGTTTTTCGTCACGGGTTGTCGGTAAGAGGAAAAGGGCTCTCGTGTCCATCCCTGAACTCTGCGCAACGCGCTTCACATCTGCTTTTTCATGAGCTTGGATGGCGCGCGAGGCCGCCGCTTGGCTATAATCCCGCTGCCCTTCAACCGCGGCCAGGTCGATATCGCTCTTACCCACCTTGCGCTTCGAATTGAAATAATACACACTTGATCAGGCACATGGCATATGCCTTGACATGCGCATGCGGGTACAACAAACATGTGCATGCACATGACCTGTGCGTGCACATGTGCATGTGCATGCACACAAACGATCGCCGAGCGCGAGCTCGAGCGCGCGGCGAACCTAGATCCTAGTGCCAGGCCGGATTTTCCCGCCTTCCTCTCCTCTTTTGGATTTTTTTCTTTTTCTACGATCTAAGATGCTCGATTTTGCTTTCAAGTCAGCAGCAGCAGCAGCAGCAGCAGCAGCAGCAGCAGCAGCAGCAGCAGCAGCAGCCGCAGCAGCTTTGCCACAACAAACCTACTGTCGCGGCCTAAAGTGTGTGCAAGTTAGTCAGATCACGATCCCGGCGTGAACACGACTAACTGACGGATCCGCTCCTGACAGTCGCACGCACCGCACACTGCGGCGCGTGCGACTGTCTTTGTTTGAAGTAAAAAGTCGAACCAGAGCGGCGTCGGCGTTGATCTGAGTTTCCTCCCACGGACCGGCCGTGCGGCACCGCTCCGGGAAGCACGCCGGCGAAACACCATCAAGCTGCTGTACAGTCTCGGCACCTCCCCTGGCTTAGCTAGAGTGAGACTGAGCCCTGGCTTGTCAGGCTGTCAGGTGCTGTCAGGTGATCTGTCGGGCTGTCGGGCAGCTGTCAGGCACTGTCAGGTGCCTCTGTCAGACCAGCTGCCGGGTGCTGTCAGTGCTGTCAGGTGCTGTCGGGTGCGTGTCTGACATCAGCGGGGCTCTGTAGCTGTCGGGTGCTGTCGGAGCTGTCGGGTGTTGCTGTCAGACGCTGTCGGAGCTGTCAGAGCTGTCAGGCTGCTGCTGCTGTCAGACGTTGGGCTGTTGCTGTCAGGTGCTGTCAGGTGGTGCTGTCGGGGTGCTGTCAGGCTCTGACACACACCAGCCACACTTATGACACTATCAAGAGGAGACCAGCAGGACTCTACTGCACACATACTCTAGTCTCTACTCTGCCTCCGGTCCCACCATCTTCTTCATGGTGGACGTCACCATCTTCTTGTCTGCCGCACTGAGAGAATAGCAGAGAGGCAGGCTGGAGTGCTTCTTCGGTACACCTTGCTGATGATCTGGTAGTTGCTTGTCCAGCGGAAGGCCTCCCCATCGTTGTCGCTCGTCAGCTTGTAGTACTTGCACGCTCTGTTCTGGTAGCGCGGGCCGTCTGGGGGGGTCCCGTCACCCTTCACCTCACGGTACCACCGGAGGATAAAGAGGCCCTTGGGGTCGTTGATGAAGACCCCGTTGCTGCGCTGACTCATCGAGAGCTGGCGCAGGTACTCTGCGCTCGAGCTGCCAGTGGCACGATCGGCTCGAACTGCTCCAACGTGCTGCGCCACACCGCCGGCGAGTCGCACCTCCGCGCGTGGCTCGCCGACCTGCCGGTGGAAGCGGAGAAGCCGACGCTCGCCGAGCTGCAAACGTGCGTTCTCCTCGCCGTGTGTCCATCAATACCCGCACGCGGGGCACTCACCCTCCTCTCGCGCGGCGGTCGCAGGTGTCGATCGCGCACAAGTGGCTGGGCAGCGAGCGCTCCAAGCGCACCACGCAGACCAAGGTGCGGGTGCAGCGCAAGGCGCAGAGGGAGGCGACCAACGCGGCGGTCGACGCCGCCGTGGCTACTGGCCGGGCGGTGGCGGGGGCGCTGACGCCGATGACGCCGGCGGCTAGTACGCAGCTGCCCCCCCTCCTACGGCGTGATCACGGCGGCGGCGGCGGCCGCCTGGGGAGCGCAGCTGGCGGCGCAGGCGCAGGCGGCGGCGGCGGCACAGACGGCGGCGGCCACCCCCACCCAGACGCCGTAGGCATATGACTGAAGGGCCCCAGAAGGCTTAGCTGGTAGCTTCATTTGTAGTAGCACAGCCGCGGGTCCGCAGAGGTGGGGCGGGAGGGTTGAGAGAGAGACCCTAGGAGAGACCCATGACCATCCCATGACTACATGTCTTTGCATGTAATAGTTTTGTTATACCCTCATGGGGCACAAGAAAGAGGCTGCACGGCCTGTGTACGGTCTGTGCTGCTGTCGGGCTGTCAGCGCTGCTGTCAGGCCACTGTGTGCTGTCGGGCTGTCGGGCAGCTGTCAGGCTGTCACGTTAGGGCCTGACAGGACGGAGCCCCTCTGATGTCAGACTCTGCTGTCAGGCTGTCAGATACGTGCTGTCAGGCTGTCAGAGAAGTGCTGTCAACGCTGTCAGGCTGTCGGGCACTGTCAGGCGCTGTCCGGGGTTTGCTGTCAGGCTGTCAGACCAGGGCTCAGGAGTGAGAGATATTGTGCACATGGTCTATCTCTACGCTACAATATACTCACTGACACTTCACCTCCCAGAGCTCGTTCTGGTCCGCCACGGCCATCCTCGGCTTCCGGAGGGCCCCCGGCCGCGGCGCGGTGCGGCGGCGTCACAAATCCAAACGCAGAGCACCGGGACGCGGTCGGGCGATCTGAGGCCCAACTAGGCGTATGCATTGCCCATCCAGGGCTATCACCTGGACCTATCAACAGGCGCCTGCGGCGCCGTGCTCAGGAGCTGCTGCTCCAACCTGTTCACATAAACGCACAACCCCGGGCCCCGAAATCGCACAGTGACAGTCAGACATGCAACACGGGGTCCCAGGGAAGGCAAGCAAAAACCTTATCGCGCGCGCAACCTGTTCACAGCCTTGTTATTGAGAAGAAAATACGTCCTACTTGAGTATGGCGCTGTGCGCTGGTATGTGAAGGCCTCCAGGGCTCGCACCGCAACCTCTCACAGGCCAGCGCACAGCGCCATACGAGGTATTTTCTTCTCAATAACAAGGCTGTGAATCTCAATAACAAGGCTGTGAACGGCCCGCGGGTAGTCTCCCCCCATTCCCAGGGCCTCCAGGGCTCGCACCTCAACCTCTCACAGACCAGCGCATAGCGCCATAGGACGTATGTTCTTCTCAATAACAAGGCTGTGAATTCCCAGGGCCTCCAGGGCTCGCACCTCAACCTCTCACAGGCCAGCGCACAGCGCCATAGCAGGTATTTTCTTCTCAATAACAAGGCTGTGAACAGACGCACTTGCCTTCTGGGCGGGGGGGGGCCGGCAGATCTCTCCGCGGCGTTATGCCCTCCAAGAAGTCGAAAAAGAAGGAGCGGCGCCTCGACCCTCGCGGGTACGCCACAGCGAGCACACCCAGATCTTCGCACAAGGAGGACTGTGACGACGGTGCCCACGTTTCTGTTGGTGCGCGCCTCGCCGTGAGACCGGGCGGCTCGGTGCGGCTGGGGCTGCGCGTGCGCGCGCCTCCTGCGCTGGGCTTGGAGGATGCCGCAGGAGAGCCCACCCTTCGGCCCGAGGAGAGCCCGACCGCGCCCGTGCAAACTTTGCCGGCAGTGCCGGCACGGCTGTCACTGCCGAAAACGGAGGACTCGAGCCCTGTCCTTGAAAGGCCGCCGCCTCCCGAGCCGCCGGGAGCCTCGCGCCCCATCCCCATCCCACTGGCGGCGCGGCCGGTGGGGGCGCTATCTCCCGAACCGGTGCTCAGCCCCGTGCAAGTGGAGGAGGGCGCGCCTGCGCGCACCCCCCTCTCCGCCTCGGCTTCTGCCGGGGCGTGCGGGCTGCTGCTGGGCGCCGCCTGCTCGCCGACGGGCGCGCGCCTTCCGCCGACTCGCGAGCCCCGCCCCTCGGCCTCTTCTCCACCCCCCCCCCCCCCCGGCGGTGCCTCTTCAGGCGCCTGCTTGCTCAGCGGCCGCTCGGCGCCGGCGACGCTCCACCACTCCCCCGGGGCGTGGCCTAGTTTGCCATCGAGGCCACGAGAGGCATCGCAGCGCGCAGCGCCTTCGGCGGAGGGAGCGTCGCCGTCCCCCGTCGTGCTTCTCAGGCCGGTGGAGGCGGCGGGGTCGTCAGCGGCGGGGGCGAGGGCTGCTGCGGCCCCAGAAGGTGCGGCGCAAGGTGTTGGGGCGGCTTGCAAGGCAGTGCCTGCTGGCGCGGAAGCGGCGGAAGTGGCGGGAGCGGCGGGAACGGCGGGAACGGCGGGAGCGGCGGGAGCGGCGGGAGCGGGGGGAGGGGCGGAAGCGGCGGCGGGGGAGGAGGAGGGGGGCGAGGAGGAGGAGGGGGTGCTGTGCGCGATTTGCCATGGCAACATCGCGCCGCTGGAAGTCGCGCTTGTGCAAGGATGCGACCACCCCTTCTGCTGCGGCTGCATCCTCAACTGGGCGCTGCAGAAGCCAAAGTGCCCGCTCTGCCAGGTCGGCTTCTCGCACCTGTGGATGTACAAGCAGCTGGACGGGTCGTACAACGACTATTTGCGCGAGGAGTCCCTCTCCCTGCTGCACCGCGCCGTCTGGTTCCGCAAGGTGCTCCTATTCACAGCTGCACTGTTCACAGCTCGACTATTCACAGCTGCGCCGTCTGGTTCCGCAAGGCCGTGTCGAGCGAGTACTCCCCCCAGCCGGTGGACGACGAGGACGAGTACCACGAGTTTCTGCAGTACGAGTTTAGCGGCCGGCGCGACGAGGAGGAGGAGCAGATGTACTACCTCGAGATGCAGGAGCGGGCCGCTCTCGGCAGGCAGAGACACGTCCGGGACACGTCCATGACATGTCCGAGACATGTCCCGTAGGAGCGGGCCGCTCTCGGCAGGCAGAGACACGTCCGGGACACGTCCATGACATGTCCGAGACATGTCCCGTAGGAGCGGGCCGCTCTCGGCAGGCAGAGACACGTCCGGGACACGTCCATGACATGTCGGAGACATGTCCCGTAGGAGCGGGCCGCTCTCGGCAGGCAGAGACACGTCCGGGACACGTCCATGACATGTCCGAGACATGTCCCGTAGGAGCGGGCCGCGCTCGGCAGGCAGAGACACGTCCGGGACACGTCCATGACATGTCCGAGACATGTCCCGTAGGAGCGGGCCGCTCTCGGCAGGCAGAGACACGTCCGGGACACGTCCATGACATGTCCGAGACATGTCCCGTAGGAGCGGGCCGCGCTCGGCAGGCAGAGCCGGCGCGCCATCGGCAACCGAATGTTTGGCTCGGGCGGGGTGGTGCAAGGGGGGCGGCTCAAGGCGCGACCGCTGCCCGTCACCCCTAAGTTTACCTCCAAGAAAGGCGCGCCCCTCGAGAGGGCGGCGGCGCTGCATCGGCGCGCAAGGACTCACCCGCGGTCCCGGTTCCGCCATCTAGGCTTCCGCCTCGAGGGCGGCGGCGGAGAGAGCAGCGGCGGGGGCGGTAGCAGCGGGGGCGGCGGCAGCAGTGGCGGAGGCAGCAGCGGGGTCGGCGGGGGCGGCGGCCGCAGTGAGCCAGCCACACCGCGGGTTTCGCGCGCGGCGGAGGCAAAGGCGGCCAAGACTGCACAGCGCGAGGCGATGAAGGAGCGGCGACGAGAGATGGCGTGCGCAGCAACGACCCCGCGCAAGACGCCCTCTTTGTGAATCGCCCGCGCGTGCTGTGCGTGCTGTGCGTGCGCGCATCCAATGTGCAGAAGCGGAGAAAAGCTGGCAGACAGGAGCGTGCTTGCGCGAGCTGCAGCTAGCAGAGACCAGGGCGCGGTGCGACGATGGACGATCCCGCAACACGTGCCCAGTACGCGTTCCACCCCGAACGGCCGATGGTGTCACAGGCCTAGAATGTCTAATCGTGATCTGGGTGTGGCAGAGATTCGTTCACAGTGTAGCCGAAAACGGGGAAAGACAAGGTGTCCCCATCACAAACGCCACGCCCCACGGCCACGCGCACGCCCACGGCGTGCGAGCCGAGCGTGCAGCGGGGCCGCCGCGTGTAGCTGTAGGGGGTAGAGACACGACAGCGTCCCCAAATCTGAGGATTCAGGATTGAGGGCTTGCTTCTGTGAGAACGCGGTGCGGGACACGAGGAGTCACGCGGACACCGACTCGTTGGTGACTCTGCTGGCACGCCGTTTCAGATTTTTTCTCAGCGTGAGCATCAATACCGCACGAATAATGGCGGAGAGCGCGCAGAACATCTAGTTCATAGCGCGGTGTTGTAGGAGCGGAGAAGAGAGACTGAGATGAGCGATCACGCTGCCGCTGAGCAAGAGGTTGCGCGCAGTGCCGCGTCGGCGGCGAGCGCGATCTCGCGGTCCGCGGCTGCCGTGGCGGTGCTCACGGCGGACCACCACTGCCAGCGTACGTGCGGCGCGACGCCGTCGTTCAGGGGGTGCGACGCGCTCGCCGCGCCGGCGGCGAGCGAGTAGACCGTGAAGGTGAGGCCGTGGCCACCCGGGAGGTGGACGAACGCCTGCGAGGTGCCCTTGCCGAAGGTCTGCGTGCCGAGGACGAGCGCGTTGCCCGCATGCGCGAGCGCCGCCGCGAAGATCTCGGCGGCGGACGCCGTCTGCTGGGTGACGAGGACGAGGACGGGGAGATATGGGGAGATATGGGGAGATATGGGGAGATATGGGGAGATAGCGCCTGCTGGTTGACGAGCACGATGACGGGGACCCCGCAGCCGAAGGACCCGCTGCCGAGGGCGCCCCCCGCCGTGCCGTCGGGCAAGGCAGGGCGGCCGCCACCCCGCCGGCACGAGCCGAGAGGGGAGGCGCGGTGGTACCAGCGGCGGCGGAAGGAGCGCACCTACCGCCAGTTCAATCAGCGGCTGGTGTACCATAGCGGCACGAGGGAGAGGCCTGGCGGCGGGAAGGAGCGCACTGTCCGCAGAGAGCCGCGCCGCCTCTTTTGGAGGGAGAGGACGTGGGCGCCTGTAGGAGAAGGCTCCAAAAGGTTCCTAGGAGGGAGGGAGAGGCCGTGGGCGCCTGCGCTGTGAAGACACGCAAGTCAGGGCGAGGGCGCGGTCTCGTGCGGCGCGCGTTCAGGGCGCCGCGTGAAGACATCGGCCACGTGTACAGCGAGGTGCAGCGGAGATGTGGGGAGATATGGGGAGATATGGGGAGTACAGCGAGGCGCAGCGGAGTGGAGCTAAACGCGCGTGTTCTCTAGTGCGAGTCGGGAGACGCACAGTCTCTGCGTCCTAGAAGGTTCCTAGAAGGTTCGTAGAAGGCTCCTAGAAGGCTCCTAGAAGGCTCCTAGAAGGGTCGCCCTCTGCGTCCCGCATCTACTCGCGGTGCGGGACCTCGCGGGAGCAAGCTGCGAGCACTCGCCACCGACGCGGACAACAACCCGCCGTCGTTGTCGCGCAAGTCGAAGAGCACGGCCCGCAGGTCTAGTGGCAGGTCTAGCGCACCGGCGCCGTCGCTGCCGCTGTCACCGCCGCGCACAGGCTCGCCCGCGCCGCCTCCGCCGCTGCCGCTGCCGTCCACTCGCGCGCGCAGCTTGCGCAGCTCGCTGCAGAGCTCGGCGGCAGTGCCCGCGCCGAAATGGTGGATGCGCAGGACGGCAGCGTGCCCCCCTCCCTCGCTGCGCCCGCCCGGCTGCCCCGGGGCGGCAGAGGCGGCTGCGCGCGCAGGCAGCCGCACGGTGCGCGAGGAGACGGAGGGAGGAGGGAGCAGCGCGCACCGCAGGGAGAGGTGGATGGGGGCGCGGCAGCCCGCGCGTCGGACCAGCATCGGCACGCGCTCGTTCTCTTCCGCCTGCAGCAGCGCGTCCGCCTCCGGGCCGCCGCTCGCTGCCAAAGCCTTCCCCGCCACCTCGAGCACCTCGTCGCCGACGCGCAAGCCCGCGAGCGCTGCCGGAGAGCGCTCGGCCACGGCACTGACGATGGTGCGCACGGCCTGCGGCTGCGCCTTGCGCGGCGGCAGCCGCAGGGCGCGCCACCCGCCCTTTGCCCGGCTCTCGAGCGGTTCGTGGGTTGTGCGCACGCCGAGGTCGAGCTGGCCGTGGTAGCGGCTGCTCAAGGCCTCGGCGCGTTCGGGCGGGAGGAAGCTGGCGTGGGGATCATCCAGCTGGCTCATGACCCACTCGCACGCGTCCGTAAAACGCGCCTCTTCGCCCTCGCGTGGGGCAGCCTCGAAGCGCCGGGCCGCTGCCGCGCGCAGCAGGAGCAGGTCTGAGCGGCTGATGAAGCTAGGGCCGCCGTGCGTGCGCGAGAGCACTTCGAATAGCACGTCGAGCCGCCGCCTCTGTGGCGTGGAGGAGGAACCGGCGAGCACGACCACCAGGCTGGGCAGCATCATTGGCGTGTGCTGGCCTGGGAGTGTGTGTTTTCGTGAAACACGGACGTCGTCCGGGTTCTGTCGAGCGTGCGGGCCGCCACCGGTTAGGGCGGAGGCCAGGGTTGGGCGGTTAGGGCGGTTAGGGGTGATGCGCTTCGTCTACTCGAGCCTCGACTCGTGCGCCGCCTCGTCAGCGGCGTGGCGGGCGGTCGGCTGCATCAGCTGTCGCCCCGCCCGAGTGCGTCTCGTCTCGCTCACCCTCTGCTCGAGCCTCGACTCGTGCGCCGCCTCGTCAGCGGCGTGGCGGGCGGTCGGCTGCATCAGCTGTCGCTCCGCCCGAGTGCGTCTCGTCTCGCTTACCCTCTACTCGAGCCTCGACTCGTGTGCCTCCTCGTCGGCGGCGTGGTGAGCAGTCAACCGTCTCGCTCCTGGCTGGCACAGGCGGGTTGATCGGCTCTCGGCCTTCTAGTCAAGTGGGCGCCTGGGCGTGGCGAGGCAGCTGGCCTTCGGCCTCTTCTCGCTTTCCTCCGAGCGGTTGCTCTCTCGCACCACGCTCTCGGCCGCCCAGGCGGCTCCGTTCCACGGAGCAGTTGCCCCTCTCTCGGCTACATTGGGTTGTGAGGGCCCTCTGCTCCTTTGCCCTCGCTCCTCCACTACTGCTTTGGGATGTCAGGTACTGCGTAGCTCTTCCTTGTGGAGGCACGCGACGACTCCAGACGGACCCTAGTACGCTCCAATGTATCCTCACGGATGCTAGGAAGTGAAGCCCAGATAAAGTAGTTCGCCGTCAACGATTGGGGTAGGGGCCCCAACTCGTGTGAGGCTACTACTTTATCGCAGGTACTCACTGAGGAGCGTCTTCTCATATGAAGGGTCTTCATCCCTCCTGCCAGTCTTCACGGATTTTTCTCCGTGAATACTCAGGACGCGACGTACGTCCAAGCACGTTCCGCGTGCCTCGTGGCCGCGCTCTTTGCGTGCTGCTCCTGCAGCTCTCTCGCTGCTCTTCCTGGCCCGGCGCCGTGCCAGCTCTGTGGCCGCGCCAGGCTCTGCGACCGCGCCAGCACTCTGGCTGCGCCGGTTCTTCGCTTTCCCCACCCACCCTCTCCTGGAATGAGGGGGGTCGTTCTGAGGGCTCTCCGCATGGTTAGCTCCTCCCTCTCTCTGGTCTGTGGTGCGATCCCTTTCGGCGACGCGGCCAGGCCACGGGGCGTTGAGGCTTGCCTCCGTGCCCGTGGTCGTCCAAGCTGATCGAGTCCCAACCCACCGCCTTTAGTGGCAGGACCCGCCAGCAAGGGGATGTCAGGTACTGCGTAGCTCTTCCTTGTGGAGGCACGCGACGACTCCAGACGGACCCTAGTACGCTCCAATGTATCCTCACGGATGCTAGGAAGTGAAGCCCAGATAAAGTAGTTAAGGGCAAAAACCGTGCCCCCGAGTTCATTTTAAAAAACCGATTTGCTGTGTGGGGCGTAATAAGTGTCGGTCGTTTTTGGTGGGTCAGGTGGTCTCGCTCGTTCGTTTGCAAAAAAAGCTCAAACACCCATTTTCTCCAATTTCATTTCCGCCTTTGCATCCCGTTTTCATTTATGCCTTCTGCTCTCTTTTCGTACACGAAGAGAGAACCGTGCCATCCTCGATCGCCGTGCAAAGCTCGCTTCCGAGCTCTCACGCCGCGCGTAGGGCCCTTAGGGGCCTAGAGAACACAACCCCCTCTCTCTTTTCTCCCAGTAAGCTATAAGTACATCACATACGCCAACAGACCTTTTATCGGGCCGGTTTCGCGACGAGCTTTCAATGTTTGGCGTTTGGGGACGCTTAGTGCCACGATGTTGCCTGTTTCTATCGCACCCGTGAGCCAGTGCGGCACAGCAAAGGTCTTCCGTGACCCGATCATCAACTTTGCCCACGGCGGTCGTGCCGACTTTCGCGGCCGCCACAACGCGCTGTACAACTTCCTCTCCGCGCCCGGCCTGTCGGTCAACGTCAAGACGCAGGAGGCGGTCTTCATCGCGCATCACGGCGTGCTCGCAGTCAACGGCACCTTCCTCACCGAGGCGCACATCATCTCGCAGCTATCCCCACAGAAGCACGCCACCGCCTCGTTCTGGGCGTCCGAACTCGACCCCAACAACTTTGGCTGGCGCGTGATCAATGGGACCTGCGTCGGCCGCCCCTTCCGCTTTGGCAGTCGCGGCAAGAAGGACTGCTTCGGCCTCAAGATGGCGATGGAGTACTCGAGCGCCACCTTTGAGCTGGGCAACTGGACGGTCACGGTGAAGGGCATGCCCTCGTGCGACACCGGCAAGGACTGCCTCATCAAGGGGCCTGCGCACCGGATCGACGTCGGCTTCACGGCGCGAGGGGACGCTCCGGCCCGCGACAAGCCACATGGCCTCATCGGCCAGTCGTTCGCCACGCCCGGGCTGGTGCGCAACGGCAAGCAAGATGTTTACCCTTTTGCTGGGGATTTTACCACCACCGCCCAGGCGGAAGGCGCCATTGAGGGCACGGCCTCCGAGTACGAGATGCCATCCGCCTTCGCGACCGAGTTCGCTTTCTCGCGCTTCAACGCGGCAAAAGGCGACCACGCGGCGGTCCCCTCGCAGGGCTCAAAGGCCGCAGACATCGTCGATGCGTCTTCCATCGAGCGCGTCGCCGATCCCGCCACCGAGGAGGAGCGCCGGCGACTCTCCGAGGCGCCGTGCCCACCCCCATCGCCACCGCCTCTAGCACCGCCTCCGCTGTCGGCCTGCGCTGTCGCCCTCGTGTCGAAGGCGACGCCGCCGATGGGCGTCCCATTTGTGCTCCAGCGCCCCGAATCCGAATTATGCATCCTGCCAAAGCATGGAGCGACCCCGACCTGGGGGACCGTCGCCGTCTGGCGCGAAGACTGCGGGGAATCCTTGGCCCAGTTCACTGCGGAGGATGCCGGGGACGGTCAATTCGTCCTGTATAACGTCGAAGCTGACATGTGCATCTTCACATGGCCTAGTGGAAATCCACACGCTACAGGTCAACTCGTCTATGCCCCTCGGGACCGTTGCGTCGGCGTCACTGGGGTCCAGTTCATCGCGGAGGATGCTGGGAACGGTCGATTCAAGCTCACTGACGCCAGCAAGGAATTATACCCGTTTTTGCCAACACCAAATGGATTCGACGGCGAGTTCGTGAACTACGACACCGTCTGGTCAAAAGATGCCGTGGTCGAGGTCGAATTCGTTTGCGAGTAGGACCTCCCCCCGTCCCCAGGGCCTCCAGGGCTCGCACCTCAACCTATCTAGACCAGCGCGCACCGCGCTATAGGTTCCTAGGAGGTAAGGAGGTATTTTCTATCTCAATAATAAGGGCTGTGAATCTATTCACAAATCTGTCCGGGGGATTCTCCCCATTTGCTCAGCTGATCCAGCACGGGCCGTAGGCCAGCCCTGGGCAAAGAAACCAGTACCTCATCGGGCTTCCCTGAGCGTCACAGCTCGGTGGGTCCGCAGCGACATGTGGGCGTACGCCTTCGCAAGGCCGGGGCCCAACGAGTCGTGGGCCGACGAGACGGCAGGTGAGCCGCGGGCATCACTCTAGTTGGTATAGTACCCCACCTTCACCGATCGAGTGATTTCTTTTTTAGTTTCCCATAAGTAAGGTAGGTAGGTAGGTAGGTAGGTAGGTAGGGGCACCGCAGGGGCCGGCCAGGTTTTTGCAGAATTTCAGCATCAGGCCCGCCCCAAGCAAAAATAAACTACACCTGATCTTTTGATGAAGGGTAGAGTGCACACACACACACACGCGCAAGTTTTCTTCTTTGGCGCGACTCGAAGTTGCGGCCTTCCAGGATGAGCTCCCCGTGGGGATTCACCGCCACCAGAGCCTTAACGGCGGGCATGGGCTCTGCGTCAAGGCTGGCCGAGCATCTGAGCGGCCTCGGCGTCCAGCGGCCGCTCATTGTGACTGACCGTGGCGTGCTCGCGGCTGGCATCCTCGACGGTGCGGCTGAGTCGTTGCGGCGGTCGCAGGTCGCCTTCGAGGTGTATGACGAGACGGTCGCCGACCCACCCGCCGATCAGGTCCATGCCGCCGCCGGCCAGGCGCGCGCGATGAGAGCTGACGGTGTGGTAGGGTTCGGCGGCGGCTCATCGATGGACATCGCCAAGTTGGTCGCACTGCTCGCCAGCCCGGGCTGCACCCAACCTCTGGACGACATGTTTGGCGTCGGCAACGTGCGGGCGGCGCGGCTTCCGCTCGTCCAGGTCCCAACCACGGCCGGCACCGGCTCAGAGGTGACCCCGATCGCAATCATCACGACAGCGCCTGGCACGAAGCAAGGGGTGGTGTCGCCCCAGCTGCTGCCTGACCTGGCGGTCCTCGATGGCGAGCTCACGGCGAGCTTGCCGCCGCACGTGGCCGCAGCGACCGGCGTCTGCCCGCCGCCCGCCCGGGCTGAGTCCAGGACATGTCCATGAAATGTCCGGACGTGTCCCACAGGCATCGACGCGATGGTGCACGCAATCGAGGTCACACAACACACACACTCACACACACACACACAGACACACACACACACACACAGAGAGAGAGAGAGAGAGAGAGAGAGAGAGAGACAGAGAGACAGAGAGACAGAGAGACAGAGAGACAGAGAGACAGAGACAGAGACAGAGAGAGAGAGAGAGAGAGAGAGAGAGAGAGAGAGAGAGAGTCGCAAAGATGCATCTCGCTTCCCTCAAGGGCCCGAGATCATCCGAGAGGACTCAGGCTCGAGGTAAGGTCATGCGTAGGGGAGGCGGATACCAGGACATGGCACTAACCCCCCCCCCCCCCCCACCCCCCAACCCCCCCCACCCCCACCCCCACCCCCACCCCCACCCACCCACCCACCCACACCTGCCCTTACCACCCCCACCACAATCCCACGGAGAGCCTTCATGGCGGCTGGGGAGGATGTTGGATTGCAGATGGCTGCTCCGCCCCGCAGGCGTACACGTCCCACCGCCTCAAGAATCCGCTCTCCGACCTGCTCGCGCGGGAGGCACCTCTCCTCTCACATCTCGGGTCACCTCGGACCCCCTCGGGTCACCTCGGATGGCCTCGCAGCGCATCTCCCTTCCCACGCCTCGGGTCGTCTCGGGTCCCCTCGGACGGCCTCTCACCCCTCGACCCCGCGGCGAAGGCGCTCTCGCTGCTTGGTGCGAACATCGCTGCTGTCTGCGCGGCGGGCGAAGGGCAGCCGGCAGGCGCGGAGGCGCGTGGGCTTAGAAGCTGAATAGAGGACACCTGTTCGGGCGTGTGTGCCCAGCTGTCTCGCTGAATTCGGAGCCCTCGTACTCACGCGGTGCTGCGAGTACTGACGATGGTGCTTCCACACTGGAGGCGCGTGGAGCGATGCTACTCGGATCATGCTACGCGGGACTGGCCTTCGCGAATGCGCCCGTCGCTGCGGTCCACGCTTTGGCCTACCCGCTCGGATCGACTTTCCACGGGGCCCGGGCCCCACCCCCGGCCCCCCGCCCTGGCCCCCGCCCCCGCCGCCGTGGGTACCCCCCCCCCCCCCCCCTTTGCCACCACCACCCTCGCCGCCCACCCCACCTCTCGCCGCCACCTCCATCGTATCCGCCGCCCTCGTCCCCGCCGCCCGCACCGCCCTCGCCGCCGCACGGTGGCACCTCGCCAGACGCCAGGAGGTGCGCAACAAAAGAGAGGCCACCGCACACCTCCTGCCCGCGCGCAGGTCCCGCACGGACTCTCAAACTCGCTGATGCTCCCGCACGTCCTCGACTTCAACGCGCGCTCCGAGCAGGTGCGTCTGGTGTGGCTGCACCGCCGGCTCCTACACGCTGCGCGCCGCCACCCGCACCGCGCTGACCCATCGCCTCGCGCAAGAAGGACCTTGCACTATAGCCCTCCCAGAATCGCCCGGCCGCCACCCCCTACCACCCCGCTCACCGCCTCCCACGCCGTGGTCCCGCCGCAGGCGACCAGCTTGTACGCAGAGCTCGCGCCCATTGTCTGCTCGCGCCAGCTCGGTGAGTGCGCCGCCTCGGCGGCTGTGGCGGCAGGCTCGCGAGGAGCAGCAGCGGGCGGCAAGGCAAAGAAGTCGCCACTGCCATGAGCGCGGCGCGATTGATCTAGGCGCGTTTGTGGACCACTTCGCGTGTTTACCTGCGGAGCTGGGGCTCCCCACCACTCTCCGCGAGGTTGGTGTTGCCGAGGCGGACATCGGCAGCCTCGCGGCGAACGCGATGTTGCAAACGCGACTGCTGCCGAATAACCCGCGCGAGGTGCATCTCGACGACGCGGAGAGGATCTACCGCGCCGCGCTCTGAGGTGCGGGGCGGACAGTCATTTGAGTGTGTAAAAACGGGTTTCAGCGGGTCGTGGCTCCTGGCAACTCAGCTAGCCGTCAGGCAAGACCAAGACCCCAACTTGCCAAGAGAGAGCGGCTCGTCTGACGCGTCTCTCTCCCGGTCATCGATCGCTCACTCACACTTGAACCCCCCGCTTGTCGTGGCGCCCGTGGGCGCCACAGCAGGAGGCCCTCTTGGCATGTCTCATGCCAACATCCACCCGAGTTCCCTCGTATTGTCCATGGATGGAAGCCCACGGCCGTGCGACGCCCGACGCGTCGCACGGCCCATCCCAACTAGATTCCGCCTAATCTCTCCAGGCAGATTCAGGCGGCAACGCGTGCGGCGCTGCCGTGTCTAACTGCGGCCCGCGGTCCATTCGTGGCGTCTGCCGCCCATTCGAAACTCAGTGAAAGAAGAAACACAGATACATCCGTGAGTCACCGAGTTTCGCCGGCCAATGCCTGGGGGGGATCCTAAACTCCTAAACGCACGCGCCCGCTGGCCGGGTCCGCTGCCCGGTCAGGCAGCGGGAGCATGCCCGACCTTTACCAACATGCTGCCCCCATCAGTGGTGGCTGGGTCGCAGCCGCTGGGCTGGCCGGCTGCGCAGTCGCTGTCTGGTGGTTGGCTAGCACAATCCAGGCAATGCAGGCACGTTTGGAGGAGCTCACGATGACGGTAGACGAGCAGAGAGCGGCAGTGGAGAGGCTAGGGAGCAGACCGTTCGGTGGCGCCTCGCGTGATCCCCAGGGACTCGCCGCGGAGAGCTTGTCGGAGCCGCCCTTGCGCAAAGCCACCTCGCAGCCTATTGGTCAGAGCAGGGCGTTCGACAGCGGACACCGGGCACGCAGGTCTGTGTCAGCCAAGCGCCTAGGCAGCATCTCGTCCGCGAGCTTGGGCGGTTCGTCCGCGACGCTGTCAAGCGACGTGACGCGCCCGTCCATGTCCACCGTCGAGGAGGAGGAGGAGAGGCCAGAGCCAGTGCCGCTGGTCGTGATCACAGACCCGGGTCAGCGCCAGTGCTAGCCCGGCTAGCACTCCCCATACCCGCACAACTGATTGGAGTCGGAGCACACACGGCTCCCCCCCCGATGGTCCTGGTCCTGCTGCTTCAGGCCAGGATCTCGACGACGAGATGTCGATCATCATGATGCGGCACCTCCTCGACCGGGGAGACATCACTGTGCGTGGAATCATCGCGACGCTCGAGCCGGCCTTCGACCGCGCGCGACTGCTGCGTGGCATGCTCGATCTGCTTGGTATGCACGGTGTACCAGTCGGTATCGGCAGCGACGGCGGCGATATGAATGGCAATCACACCGCCCAGCCCTTCGAGGAGTCCGCCTCAACGTACATCCCCGGAGCGCTGCATGAGTCGGTACTCGACATGCAGGCGCGGAACGCCTGACACGCAGCCATGACGTAGCTGAGAAGGATCCTGGGTGCAGTCTACACGCGGCCTACACGCAGACTACACGCAACCAAGATTCAAATGAGATGCAGCGCGATGCTGAGATATGTGGGCGCCGCAAGGATGGCCCTCTGCCCTGTTGGCCTCAGCCGGCGCGCTCTGCCCTGTTGGCCTCAGCCGGCGCGGATGCTGCTCCACAAGATTTACGAGGAGGCGGACATGAAGTCGCTTGTCCTCCTCATCGTCGCCTCGAGCAAGGACGCTTCGCTCTTCTGCCGTGACAACGAGGCGCGCCACCGCTGCAGGACGAGGATGAGAGCTAGAGTGAGAGAAGAGAGAGAAACAGAGGACCTTTCGGAACTGTAGTCAGTCTTCATGTCCAAGACGAAGGAGGTGGTCATCATGGGAGGGGTTCAGAACTTCGGCCCAGGTTCCGGCCCACTCGAGCCAGACTCGTCCAACAACCACGCCTTTGACGTCGAGTCCGCGCAACACCTCTTTGAGCGCTGCCAGGCGATGGGCGTGCCGCTCGTCTGCGTCTCTCGGTGGGCGGCGTATGCCTGCAAGATGCCGCGCCAGGTTTATGACGAGCTGGCACTCACGGGCTCGGCGATTGCGTGGCGGCTCAGACACGCGCAGCGGACGAGCATCGAGGAGTTGTGGGAGCGTTCGTGCGCCGTTGGGAGCGCGCGGCGAGGCCTCCCCGAGCGGTGCGATCGCGCTTGGTTCCTGGACAGCTTCTGCGACGGAGCCGATGGAGAGGGCCGCTCCAGCTCGGGTCCGATCTGGGATCTCATTCAGGGATTTATGCAGTACGACACGATGGCGCTGCTCGCCGCAGTCCCCACCCTCCGCGAGCGCTTCTTCGCGGGCCATCCCCACACCATCCACGGCACCACCCACACTGTCATCGGCCGCGCAGAGGAGAGCCCCGACGTGCGGTCCCCGGAGGCGGTGCAGAGCATGCTCCGTGAGGGGTACTGCCAGGGCCTCCTGATCAACCACCAGCCAAAGTCGCATGTGCTCATCTGCCTCCAATGCCACCCGAATGGGTTCCAGCGCGGGATCAACAAGATCAACGAGAAGCAGCTCGTCATTGACACGCGCCTATCCATCCTCATGCTCCGGGCGCTGTGGGACCGCGGCGAAATCACCATCCACGCCTTTGTTCTCTCACTGACGAGCGATGTCGGGACCGACGCGCGCGAGCCCGTGATGCAGCAGGCCACCCTGTCGCCCGGTGCTAGGCGGCCGGTGCTGCGCGGCCGGGGCGGACTGCAGCTTGCTTGTACCCTATAGGTGGAGCTGGTGCGAACGACGCTCCGCAGGACAGGACTTGGCCACGTGCCGCTCCTCGTCGCGCGTGCGATCACGAAGGATGGGGACGGCGGCGAGCCGCAGCGGGGCGAAGACGACGGCATGGCCCCCCTCGAGGAACACCTAACGGCGTTGTACCTGGACGCGCCACCCATCGGGGTGACCCTCATTATTGCGGCGGCCTGCACGGGCGTGGCCGGCTTTGCCGAGCGGCACCCACAGCTCTTCCGCGACAAGACGGCGCGGATCATCCACCTTGGCGGCGCTCTGCTAGAGGCGGGCCGGGTCACTGTGGGCAGCAAGAGCATACTGACGGGGCAGACCGTGCTCGGACCCGACCCGGCAGCGGCCAACAACCGGGTCGATCTCGAGGCGGCGAGGGCAATGTACCACTGCGCGCAGGAGATGTCGGTGCCGCTCGTCATCCTCTCCCGACACGTGGCGCACGCCTGCCGTCTGCCGCGGCAGCTCTTCGACATGCTCCTGGAGCACTGCGGATCGCTCGGGGCAGAGCTGGCCGAGGAGCAGCGGAGCAGCACGCGGCTGCTATGGCAGCAGGCGTGCGCTCCGCTGGGCGACTCGGCGCGAGGCTCGCTCGCCGACCGATGCGACCGGAGCTGGTTCCTAAAAACATTTTGCCGCTCGGCAGACATCAACTTGCACGATACGGTGTGGCGCTAGCGCTGCTGCACCCCCCCAAGCAAGCAGTTCGACCACACTTTTCGCACGTGACTGCACACTCTCCGCCCCACAGGAGGACATATGGCCTTACATCGAGTCGCTTCACGTCTACAACCCCCTCTCGATGCTCGCAGCCGTCCCCGCCTTTGTGCAGCTCCACCTGCGCCCGATCAAGCACACTGTGCGGTCGGCGCAGCACCTGATCGTGGGTGTGAGCGAGACGGACCCGGGTGTTGAGGACCGTCGTGCGCTGCGCAGCTTCGTCTGCAGGTGCTTGATGAAAGCCAGCATCGCCAACCAGGCCGAGTTCCACCCGATCAAACCGCCACCCATCCGACTCTCATTTTGTGGAGAGGCGGAGCCGTTTGACGAGACCTGGAGCTTCGATGCGAGCGAGGACGCGTACTGACGTGGCTAGATGGCGTCTATTGGTCATCCTTAGGTAATACCGAGACACGCACTGACTGCGTATTAGCAGCACGGCAGCAGTCGCCTAGGGTGCAGGGGGACCGCACGTTCCAGATGCTAGCACGTAGCAGGGCAGCCACACCCACAGCAGTGGTGCCGGGGCGAGCGTGTCAGCGTCGTACGTCTACGTGCAGCTGTGAGAGTGCGGTGTTGGTGGTGAGTGTTTTCTCAGAGTTAAACTGAAAACTCTTTTCCCGCCACAGAGTGTAATAAACCAAGGGCGGAGGTGGGTACATGCGTGCACGCACTCGGCCCGGGGTTTGGCGCGAGCGAGTACTCAGCGGTCGCGTGCTAAGCGCTCGTGCTTCCAGCGGGCAGACGACCCCCTTCGCTCAAGCCTCGGCCCCCTCCTCAGCCATTGCGGCGGTGAACTGGGTGTTGAGCGACCGCGCGGCGCGGAGCCACACGGCGATGATCACGAAGAGGCAGCCGGCGAGGTAGGGCGTCGACGCGGCGAGCGAGCCGACGCTGAAGATCATGGCCTGCTGGAGGAGCGACCCGCCCGACTTGCCCAGCGGGTTGCCTACTCGTGACCGGAGGCGGTGAGGACCGGCGCACGGGTGGAGCTGCGGTCCGCGCGGAGCTCGCTGCCGATCACGTCGACCGCGGCCTTGCCCTTGGTCTTGGCCTCGGCGTCGAGGGGAATGTAGGCCATCTCCTTGCACGGGTCGAAGAGCGAGTACCTGCGCGCCGCGCGGCGCGCTGTGACGGTGGCGTGCCCGCTGCGGGCCAGAGGGGACAGCGTCGGCCGCACGCCATGTGCGGGTTCAGTAAGGCCGTGGGGCGGGGCGGGGGCGGGTCGGGGGCGGGGGCGGGGGCGGGGGGGGGGGGGGGGGCGCACTTGGAGCTCTTGGAGAGGATATTTTGGGCGGCGCCGACCACGACGGCGAGCATGAGTGGGGTGGTGCCTGCCGCGGCGCGGGCTCCAGTCTCCCAGCGGACGCAGAGGACGACGCGCCATCTCTTTCGGTGGAGGTGCGCGGCGAGGGGGAGAGCGGGGGAGTGTTGCGGGCGTGCGTGCTCCAAGTGTGGTGTGCGGTCACCAAGTGGAGGCGGAGGGGGAGTGTGGCGTGCGTGCGTGCTCCAACTTGGAGCGGCGCGCGTCTTTTGTCTGCGGTGTGCGGTGTGCCGAGGGCGGCCACGAGCGGCGAGAGGGACCCGCCAAACAGGATGAGCGAGAAGAAGATGGCGCCTGCAGAGTCGGGAGGAGTACAGCGCTCAGAAGGGGGACACACGGAGGGCGGGCGCGAGCGGAGCCCGAAGCAGCACGCGCCGGTGATGAAGAGCATCGTCGGCGTCACCAGCGCCGCTGCGCCCCACCCGAAGTACTTGAAGATGCGCTGGCCCGCCAGCATCATGAAGAGCGTCACGGCGCCTGTTTCCGCGGTCGGGGCCAGTCAACGTCTGCGTCGCCGCCGAGCGAACTCGCGTCGGCGGCGAAAGGGGAGCGGCGAGGGGAGCGGCGCGCGCGCCGGTGCAGGAGGAAAAGGCGCCCATAAACTCGGAGTAATCGTTTGGGTTGGGGAAGGCCACCTTTAGCTTGGCCTTCCACGACACCTGGGGCGGGCGGGCGGGCGGGGGGCGGGGGGTGGAGTGGTGCATCGGGAGTGATCAGAGTTGCGCCCCCAGCCCCGTCCCCTCAACCCCGTGTGCGCCCTCGCGTAGCAGCACCCCCCCCCCCCATCCCATCTCCCTTCGCCTCGACGATGTTGATCGACATGCCGTAGCAGATGACCAGCGTCGCGAGGTCGCGGATGTACGGCGAAGACGCCAGGTACGCCGCCGACTCCTTGATCCCCATCGATGTCTTGGTCTTGGACTGCTTGACGGCCGACGGAGGAACGCACTCGGGGTCCGTCATCACCTTCTTCTGCATGTACTGGAAGAGCGCGAGGACCACGAGGCCGGCAGCCGAGACACCGCCCATCAGCAGCTTAAGCGAGCCCGCCCACGGGTCTGCGGCGGTGGATGTGCGGCGCAGGCCCGACACGAAGCGGACATACAGCCCCGAGAAGATGAGAGCGACGTTGGCGCCGAGGCCGAAGAGCGGGTAGTACCTCTTCGCCTCCTCCACCTTGGTCACCTGGTTGGCGAAGCCCCAGAAGAGGAGCGACACCACCACCGAGCCCCACAGCTCCGCCATCGTGTAGAAGACCGCGTACGTCCAGTTTCGGATGATGGCGAGCGGCGCAGAGAGGCCGGCCAGCGCCGCCGGCAGCGCGGCGACGATTCCGTCGACAGCGGCGGTGGGGTGGAGGGCGGCGGCGTTGGGGTAGATGACGAAGGCGAACAGGGTAAAGAAGGCGATGAAGGTGGAGACGAGGCCGGTGAAGACCTGCTGCTGCGAGAACTTGTTCGAGAGCCACGAGTAAAAGACGGTGAAGCCGATTGCGCCAGGCAGGTTGACGTATGTCTTCAGGAAGGGGATGATCTCGGCGCCCGAGCCCGGTGCCGTCACGACGAGCACATCCTGCGTACGCACAGGCGACGGGCAGGGGTGGAGACGGCGGCAGGGAACAGGCGAAGCAGGGGCAGCGAGAGGCCCGCCTTTGTGTCCCGCAGGATCGTGTACGCAAACAGAATGAAGAAGAACATGGCGCCGAGCGGCGTCACCTTCTTGAGCTCGGCCGGGGGCGGCAGCTTCGCCCGCAGCTTTGCCAGCGGACCGCCCTTGCCGTCTCCGGCAGCCGCGGCCTGCATCGACAGTTGAGCGGAGCGGGCAGGCGCAAGCCGCGGCATGGCCTGCGGCCTCATCCCATATGCGGCAGCCAGCGGCGCGACGGGAGCGCGGGCGAGGGCGAGAGCGTGGGCGTGGCCGGCGACGCAAAGGGCGGCGGTCAAGCGGAGTACTCTCATGTATGTATGTGTGTGTATGCTCGGAGCCCGGAGCCGCCCGCCAGTCGTCATCAAGCGCGGGGTTTTCTTTTCATTTCGATTTCTTGTTTTTCCGTCCGTCCAGCGCTCTTCTTAGCTTGTATGTGTCTGTGTGTCGCTCGTGCGTGTCGTCATCATCTGTCTTGCGTCCACCCATGCCGCGTTGGTGTCCAGTCCGAGCCTGGCTGTTCTTCACCTTTCTACCTACCTACTCGCTTAGTGTGGGTAAACGAAAGTAGCGTATACGCTACTATGAATGAAGAAGCCGAAAAAACACGCTGCGGCAGTCCACCCGAGCCAGCCAGCTGCCGGCTCGCACGGCAGCCTCTTCCTCTCGACCACCCTCAACTTCCGTACAGTCAACATTTTGTCGCTGCGTGCTCGTGGTGAGCTGTGGCGGCGGTCGAGCCAGTTCATCAAGCTTCAAGGCGGGGTTTTCTTTTGGGAGCGCTTCGTTGAAAGCTCTTGTTTGTGTCTGTGTGTCGCTCGTGCGTGTCGTCATCATCTGTCTTGCGTCCACCCATACCGCGTTGGTGTCCAGTCCGAGCCTGGCTGTTCTTCACCTTTCTACCTACCTTCCTACCTCCCTACTCTTCAAGTGTCTGCCGAATTGGTGGACGGAAGCACTCGGCAGGTGCGAGGTGGCGCGGAGTGCACCTGCCTCAGGGCTCAGGCGCACAAGCTGATGAATGCGGGCCCCAAGAAAGATGAGAAGGTCCTACCTGCTCTTGAGCGCGACGATGTCCCTGCGAGAGCGTCGCATCCTCTCTCTCCTCGAGAGCGCGTGCCGAGCTAACATGTTGGAGCATAGGTGCACCCGGTCCCGGGGATGCCCCACGTCTTCAACGAGCTGGGCGGCTTCATGGTGTGGAACTCGACTGTGCCGTGGCGGCGCGGCGACCCCAAGGAGTTCGCGCCAATCATGATCTTCAACAAGCAGCTCGACTTCGTGCACAAGAGGTTTGGGGATTACCGCGGCTGCAAGCAGCGCGTCGAAGGGCGTTGGGGCCCCAATTCGCGTTACTAGGCATGCATGTGTTGCGAATGCGCATTCCGTGATGAGACGGTTCATGCGCTCTCTATGTCTATGTCTCTGTGTCCATTGTCTTTGTTTGTTTGTCTGAGCCAGAAGGGGAGCCCCGCGCAAGTCCCCGCGCCGCAACGCGCAAGCGGGGCGGCTTCTCAACATGAAAGGGGGCCGAAGTGGGCCCGACCAAACAATGCGCCCCCAAGCGCCTGCAAGGCGGCCGAGCCGCCCCTGCTGCAGGGCACCCGCGACCCAGTTTTGCAAAATGAGTACTTATCAATACAGACAACGAAACCGTACCGACACCTGCTGGCAGGGTACTATCCTTCCGCCCGCAAGCTCGCAAACTCGGGCTGCGCCCGGAAGGCCTCGGCGAGCTCCGCGCCGCTCGTCGCCTGCCCTGGCGCCTTGTCGGGCCGCGCGCGCACAAAGCGCGGGAACCGGAGCGCGAGGCCCTTGGCCGGCTCCTCGGGCAGCAGCCCCGCCGCCGCGAGGAAGGTTGGCGAGAGCGAGAGCGCCGCAGCGCGCACCTCCCACACCGCGGGGGGCGTCGGCGTGGCCAGCCAGCAGTCGGGCTCGTAGTGTGGCGGCAGCGACGCGGGCAGGTCGAGCCACGTGGGCGGCCCGCCGTCGCCGCGCGGGGCGGCGGCGGCGCCGCGCTCGAAGAGGGCGCTGAAGGTCGCGAGGTCGTCGTCGGAGAAGCCGGTGCCGACCTTGCAGACGGGCTGGTAGCGCGCCGCGCCCGGCGCAGCGACCCTGCAGGCGAGCAGAAACGCTCCGTAGCCGCCCGAGCGCTTGCCGGTCCCGGCGTAGGCCCCGACGGGGACGAGGTCGAACGAGTCGGCCAGCCCGTCGATGTAGTCTCGCTTGAGCTTGAGCCACGCGAAGGACCGCTTGCCCGGCGCGTACCCAGACTCGGCGTCGTCCGCGAGCGACTTGACCATGAGCCCCTCCGCCTCCATCTCGGCCGCCGCGGCCAGCGCCGCCTCGAGCTCCTCCGCCGTTGACCCCTCCTCGCCCTGTGCCAGCTCCACACGCCCCGCCACCGGGGTGAGCAGAGCGCGCAGCGCCGCGCGCCGCGCCCGCAGCGGCTTGTGCAGCAGCGACGCTCCCTCGGCGCCTTCATCGCCACCGGCTCGCTCAAGCTTTTAGAGGCCGCGACTACCACCGCGCGGTCGGCCACAGCCGGCGCCAAATGCGCCAAGTGCAAGTCGGCTGCAGGCGAACTTCGCGCTTGCTCGTTTTGCAAGGCCGGCATCTACAGGCCAAGTCAGGTTTTTGCTCATGGTGCATTCACTCACACCACCGCAGTACAATCGATTGAGTCCGGGTTTTTTTATGCGTATGATTGTAAGGGCGTGGGGACCCGCCCCAGGACAGGCTCTGGCGTTCGATGGAGCGCTCTGGTGCCGAGGAGAGCCGCTGGCACGAGGTAGATGTGAAGCCACGACGGGTCGATACAGCAGGCCGACCAGAGAGTGCAGAGTGAGCACTGCCCCTCTCCAAGATCGACTCCTGTGAAGAAGCCCGCCTAGGACCATCAAGGGGAGACCAGGTACACTTGACCCGCGCAAAGAGCTAGATGCAGCCGTACCCATTCTACGGCCTCAGAGCGTATGCCTTGCCGCCGGACGGTGGCGGTCGTGTCGGTGGTTGGGCCGTTTTGCACGACGGCTGTGGCGGCGCTCTGGAGGGGAGGGCGGCCATTTTCGGGTGGTGGATGGCCGGCTTTTGAGGTCTTGCAACCCTAGCTGTGACAGCTTCGGACAGCTCGCGCAACCCTAGGAACAGCGGGCCGGCTAGGACGAGGCGGATTGCAACTCTAACAGCAAATGCACGTGGAACGAGGACAAGGCCAAGTACGGCGACGGTTCCAACGCGGTCTGCGAGTTTGGTTACCAATGCAAGTCTGGCACGTGCTCTGCGACTAATCTCCCATGGAAGACCTGCAACGGTGCAGAAACAAAGTACCCGCATCCGGGTTCGAAGGGTGTGTGCCTGGCTTCGTCAGTTCCTCCGGCGAAGTGGGGCAACCAACTGCTTCCCCAGAACGGCTGGCTGCAAACTGAGTAGATCGCCTCAAGTCGAGCGCGTTGACGTCAGAGCCCTCCGAGTTCTCCCTGTTCATTAGTTAGAGCTGTGTCCATTGCGCGTTGACGTCAGAGCCCTCCCAAGTTCTCCCTGTTCTCTGTGTGTGGCTCCGAGCACTGTGAGGTGTGCGGTGGGGGGCAAAGTAAAAAGTAAGTAGAGGGGGTGTGTTTGGCTCCCCGCGGGGCCCGACTGTTGTCGCGCACCCTCGCCTCGGCTGCCGGCGAGGCATCCGCCCCGCGCTCACACATCTGATGGAGGGTGCGAAGTAGCGGCGGCGGCAGGCTAGCCACCGGTGGGGCACACGGAGCGATATGGCGTTCGGCTGCGATTTGAGTGCAACCGGGTGACGCATCTCCTCGACAGAGACGCGGGGACGGCGTGCCTGCGAGGCGCCCGATATGCGCCAACGGACCCAATGGAGGGGGCGAAGCGAGGACTCGACGGCTCGCCCTGTGGACGGAGCACGAGAGCTCGACCCGCACGACAAATCGCCCCCCCCCCGCTCGGAGCTCCTATTCACACCCGGCATTCGAGCCCATGAAAACAACAATGTGCGCCAAGCAGCACGATCACGCCTCGCACCGGTGCGGTGGTGCCGGGCGGCTCTAGGGGGTCAGGCTGGCTGCATGGCACCACCCGTAGCCCGTTTTGCTGCCCTGGCATCACCCGGAGGGGGGATTGAACATGGTATAACGTGGCTCTTACGATCGTCCCGCCCTCCCTCACTGGTGTGTTCATTGGGTGGGTGGGGGGGGGGGGGGGGTCATAACAAACACGGTACAGGATCGAGGTGCACGCTGCAGAAGCAGTGTCGTCCCCCCTCTTGAGCACTTGAGTTTGAGCCGGCTTTCTGTCTGCGTCAAACGTCAAAGATTGAATTCTGTCTGTGTCAAACGTCAAAGATTGAATTGTGGACTGCCTCTGGCTCTGCTCTCCAACTTTACCTTTTTGTTATGCCCAACTTTTTGTTATCTCTGCTGAATAGTGAGTTCAAGAGCTTTATGAATCGGAGGACAGGCCTCCACGTTGGAAGATGGAAGCCGAGAGACAGAGAGTACGGCTACGGGGGTGAAAAGGGAAAAAAAAGCTGACGCGCCGTGACTTGTGAGGAAATCGAGGGACGCGACCTTCGCCACAGACGGTCCCGCGCCTCGCCGCTATGACCGCTGCACGGCCCATAGCATCCGCTGTGCAGCGGTCTTTGTCCGGAGTGAAAAGTCCAACGCGCTCGTCGGTGGCGGTGTCCCTCGATTTCGCCGCGCTCGGCGAACCTCGACAGCGCTTTCGGTGGCATGCAGCTCCTTGCGACAGAAGCCTGGAGAGCAGCTCCTCTGCTGCTCACACACTCTGCACAGGTGACACAGCCTACTGTGCGGCTGCCACAGCTGTGACAGCGATGGGCTCGCCCTCACTGGCCCTCAGTCACTTGTGCTGCGGCTTGTGTGAGCGACACTGCTCGGCGACTGCCGGCACACTGTGAGACCATGGGTGGGAGGTAAAACCACGGTACCAGCGCTTGGTCACATCGGCCCCGAGGTCAGATCCATCTACTCTGTTGATGACAAGACTTGTCTACTGGCTGGAGCCGAACAGGAGGGCCCAGCGCACAACCCCTGGTCAACTCAGGGTCCACACCCCGTACTCGTAGCCTACTGCTTTCGTTACGACCTTTACTCGACTCTCGAGACCCCGGCCGCCAACGACGCTCCACGCCGGTTACTCTCTCGGCTTCCAACGTGGAGCCTGGAGGCCTGTCCTCTTGAACTCACTACTCAGCAGAGAGGGGCCTAGAACACGCCCAATGCACCCACTACAAGAGACCCTCGAAAGAGACCCAGGACGACCCAGAGCGCAGAGGCCTTCCCAATAGATGGGGGCGGGGGGGAGGGACACAAGCGGCAGACGACCACCCCGAGTTCCTTAGACCAAGAGCGAGACGCGCGCCGCGTAGCCGTGGAACGCGCCGCCGTTGTGGTACGGCACGTAGTAGGCGTGTGTGGCAGTGGCAAAGCCGCCGTTGAGACCCTTCAGGTTCGAGTTCGTGTCGGCGAGGTTGAGGTACTCGACGCCCGAGGAGGAGAAGTCGGAGAGCGAGACGCGCGCCGCGTAGCCGCTGCGCGCGCCGTAGTCCCACGGCGCGTAGTAGGCGTGTGCGTCAGTGGCGAAGCCGCGACCGAAGCCCCTCAGGTTGGAGTTCGTGTCGGCGAGGTTGAGGTACTCGACGCCCGAGGAGGAGAAGTCGGAGAGGTTGACGCGCGCCGCGTAGCCGTGGGGCGAGCCGTTTTTGTCTGGCACGAAGTAGGCGTGTGCGTCAGTGGCGAAGCCGCCATTGAAGCCCTTCAGGTTGGAGTTCGTGTCGGCGAGGTTGAGGTACTCGACGCCCGAGTTGGAGAAGTCGGAGAGCGAGACGCGCGCCGCGTAGCCGTTCCGCCCGCCGTCGTTTTTGTTCGGCAGGTAGTAGGCGTGTGCGTCAGTGGCGAAGCCGCCAAAGAAGCCCTTCAGGTTGGGGTTGGTGTCGGCGAGGTTGAGGTACTCGACGCCCGAGGAGGAGAAGTCGGAGAGCGAGACGCGCGCCGCGTAGCCGCTGTACGCCGCGCCGTTGCTGTACGGCACGTAGTAGGCGTGTGTGTCAGTGACGTAGCCGCCCTGGAAGCCCTTCAGGTTGGAGTTGGTGTCGGCGAGGTTGAGGTACTCGACGCCCGAGGAGGAGAAGTCGGAGAGCGAGACGCGCGCCGCGTAGCCGCTCCGCCCGCCGTCGTTGAGGGTCGGCACGTAGTAGGCGTGTGCGTCAGTGGCGAAGCCGCCAAAGAAGCCCTTCAGGTTGGGGTTCGTGTCGGCAAGGTTGAAGTACTCGACGCCCGAGGAGGAGAAGTCGGAGAGGTTGACGCGCGCCGCGTAGCCGCTGTACGCGCCATTGTAGAACGGCACGTAGTAGGCGTGTGCGTCGGTGACGTAGCCGCCCTGGAAGCCCTTCAGGTTGGTGTTGGTATCGGCGAGGTTGAGGTACTCAACTGTGCAATCCGACCAAACGCACGCTGGCGGAAAGGTCGGAGGCGGCGCTACCGGCTGCGGCGCAAGCGGCGGCGACGGAGGCGACGGAGGCGACGGCGGAGACGGCGGCGACGGTGGCACCATGCCCACAAACTTCCGAACCGCCTCGAGCTCCTCGCTCACGCTCGCGAGCCCCTGCGAGACACCGTCCTTCAGCTGCTCCGTGACGAACTCAGTGAAATTTCCGCGAAGCGCTTCGATCCGCTCGGTGACACTCTCCCCGTCCGCCGTGACAAAGTCCGTCGCGTGCAGCTCGCCGCTGCACGTCAGCTTGCCGCCTCCCTCGCCGGTCAGGCGGGTCGCCGTCAGGTCGGGCGTGCGGCTGTTGAAGGAGAGTGTCGCTTTCCTCCCCGTGATGGCGAACTCGGTCTCGTCGCCAGTCGCGGAGGAGAGCTGCCGCCGCGCCGCTGCCGGCGGGCGAGCCGCGGCCGCCGGCGGGTTGGGCGGGGCCGGCTTGTCGCGGAGCGCGCCGATCTTGGCGTCTTGCGCGGCGTTCTGAGCGACGCACTCCTCGACGCGCTCTTCAGCAGCCTGCACGCGCGCCTCCAGCGCCTTGTGGTCCGCGGCGCTCACCAGCTCGACCACCTCGCCGCCGGCCGACGTCTGGACCTGCTTGTGGTCCGTCTTGCTCTTGAGCGCGGCGAGTAGCTCGGCGATCATCTCGTCCTTCTTCGTCATCTCCTCCTTGAACGCCTCGTCCTTCTTCTTCATCTCCTCCTTGAACGCCTCGTCCTTCTTCTGCACCTCCTGCTCCTTCTTCTGCATGTCGCTCTTGAACACCGCGAGCTCGGCCATGATGCTCTTCAACGTGACGGGGCTCTCGCCGCCAGCCGCAGCGGTGGAGCCCTCGGCCGAGTCCTTCTGCACCTCGCCCATGATCGTGTCGGCCGTCTCCGTCTCGTGCACGATGGCGTCCGAGCGGAGAGCCGCGAGCGGCGCCGGGAGGAGGTTGGTTGCGAGGAGCGCGGCGCCCGCCCCTGCGCGTAGGGGACTGGGCGTTAGCATGCAGGTTGCTGAGTGGAGCCTGAGTGGAGCCTCTCTCCCCTCCGCCGCGTCTCCGCTCGCGG